GCTAGGGCTGAGACAGCACTAATCGATTGGATCCCCATTAACAGTCGGTTATGTGCTGTTAGATTAGAAAGTTCCATCAAAGTGAGAAGAAACCGGCGTGAGAAACGGTGACTTTTCGTCATCTCCGCCTATGCCCCGACAGATTGCAGCCCGGATGCAATCAGGGATGAGTTTTACCATCAGTTAACAGTTCTTCTCCAGAAAGTGCGTTCGACAGATGTTGTAGTACTAACCGGAGAATTGAATGCACAGGTCGGGCGTCTAGGCACAGAAGAGAGTCGTTTAGGTGGCCGATGTTGACTTGTTGGTCGCAGGTCAGATAACGGGGACCGTTTGCTGCAACTGTGCACAGACCACAACCTTTTTCTGACTAGCACTAACTTCCGACACAGTCATCGCCAGTGTGCCACCTGGCGTCCTCCCTCTACATCCCAAGCCTGGACTCAGATTGATCACATCGCGATCAGCTACCGCTGGCGTGGTTGTGTACAGGACTGCCGCACCTTTCGCAGTACCTTCCTGGAGTCTGATCATGCCCTGGTCTGAGCCAATCTCACCTTACTTTTCAGTGGCCGAAGGATTGACCACCACCAACGGATTGATGTCAGCAAACTGGCTGCAACTTCTGTTGCAAGTAAGTATCGAGCCTCTAGGCTAGCTAACACCCCGCCGAAAAGTATAGATGAGCATTGGTTGCATCTTCACGACGCCATGAAAATGGCGAGTAAAGCCACTTGCGGCTTCGCGAAACGTCCCGCTTACAAGCACTGGGTTTCTTCTGGCTCCTTATAACTCATCGAAGCCCGCCGGTCTACTCCGGATGGATGTGAGTTTGACCACAAACTAAGGCTGTTACGTAGTGAAATCGGGCAAAGCTTGCGTTAGGACGGAGAAGCCTGGTGGTCGGAGCGTGCTAATGAGATGGAAGCAGCAGCTGCATCTGGTAACTGCCGGAAGCTCTTCCAACTCATCCGAGCCACTGGCAGCAAGAAGTCTGGTGTGAGTGAAACAATCTACGAGGATGACGGGATGCCAATCACTAATATCTCTCGACGTCTTGGACGATGGGCGGAATTTTTCGAAGAGCAGTTCAACTGACCTGCTGCTCCGACAACATCCACCAGCTTGTCCTGCCCCCCATGGCCGGTGACGACTGATCCACCAAACGAGGCAGAAGTCCGCAAGGAACTCCAACTCTTGAAACGTTACAATTCACCTGGCCCAGATGACTTACCTCCGGCTCTTTTTAAAGATGGTGGTGACCTTCTGACTAAGGAACTGACTGCGTTGTTTGCAAAAATTTGGGAGCTAGAAAGTGTTCCAACATCATGGAATGAGTCGATAGTCGTCCCTATCTTTAAAAAGGGTTCACGTTGTTCCTGCAATAACTATCGGGGGATAAGTCTACTTCCGATTGCGTCCAAACTATTGGCTTCTATCATTCTTCGTAGGTTGTTTAAAACCCGAGAACGATTGACTCGCGAGGAGCAGGCTGGTTTTCGTTCTGGTCGAGGATGCATTGATCACATCTTCACCCTCCGCCAAATGCTAGAACACCGTCATACTTATCGCAGGCCAACAATCGTAGTGTTTCTTGATATCAGGGCGGCCTTCGATTCGTTGGACAGGACTGTTCTCTGGGATCGCCTATTGAAGAAGAGTGTACATGAGAAGTTTATTAACATCTTAAAGGCCCTGTATACAAACACCTCAGGCAGAGTGAGGGCATACAACCACCTTTCTCCCTTGTTCCATTCGAGCAGTGGGGTTAGGCAGGGTTGCCCGATCTCACCATTCCTCTTCAACTTTGCTATCGACGACATCCTGGAAACAGCTCTGGTGGATGTAAGTAATGGCGGTGTGGATATGTTGCCTGGAGAACGACTTCTCGACCTTGAGTATGCGGATGATATTGGTTTACTGTGCGATAATGCCCAAGGCATGCAATCCGCACTTAATCAGTCGGCAATCAGTGTCCGCAGGTACGGCATGTGCTTTGCACCCTCCAAGTGCAAAGTACTTCTACAAGACTGGCAGGATTCTCATCCTGTACTCACCCTGGATGGTGAGCAAATTGAAGTAGTTGAGAAGTTCGTGTATCTAGGTAGCTACATAAGTGCTGGTGGTGGCGTGAGTGATGAGATTGATGCACGTATAATGAAAGCCAGAGCGGCTTATGCCAATCTGGGCCATCTTTGGCGCCTTCGTGATGTTAGTCTGGCTGTAAACGGTCGGATCTACAACGCGTCGGTGAGAGCAGTTTTGCTTTATGTTTGTGAAATCTGGCCTCTCCGAGTTTAGGATGTTAGACGTCTCTCTGTGTTCGATCATCGTTGTCTCCGAAGGATTGCTGACATTCAGTGGCAACACCATGTTAGTAATGCAGAGGTTCGGCATCGAGTGTTCTTGCACAGAGACGATAATTCAGTTGGTGTCACCATCTTGAAACACCGACTTCGGTGGCTCGGACATGTTTTACGAATGTCGTCCCAGAGACTTCCACGTCGTGCATTATTTGCCGACTCTGAGACTGGTTGGAAAAAGCGGAGAGGAGGTCAGTGTATGACATGGTGTCGTGGCATGAAAGAGAGCTGCAAAGGGCTAGCTTCTGTTGGTCCTTCACGACTCCCTGGCTGGGGTCCGAGAGATGGTGCAACACAGTGGCTAGAGACTTTATTATTCATGGCTCAGAATAGAAGTCAGTGTCGATCCTGCTGCAACCTTCTTTTACTTTCTACATAAAGAGTGGTTCTAACTTTCTTAACTGAAAGAGTCTTCTGGTTTTACATTTCAGTCCGCTTTATCTTTTCATCCCTTCTCTTCCTACTTTCATTATTTTGTGTGGCGCATATGTATCTGGTGCCCTTTTGTACCAATATATATGTGTTTAAATAAATAAATGAAATAAGTTGGAAAGGTGGATTAGGTTTTGCACTTTTGAGCTAGTACGTAGTGCTAATAGCTCTTCATTGATGGCTTTTAACCTATGTTTCTCTTTAATTAGGTTAAAAATTATTGTTATTTGTGTGACTGCTGTGAAGTCGTTAGATTTAAAATAACGTTTCTTTAGGCGTCTTAGTTTATTACGATATTTAGCTGGTATATATAATACGTAATATTTACTAATCCTGTAAGTCTTAATTGGTGCACAGGAGTCTAGACAAGAGTTAACAATCAAATAGAATATGTTTATGGCATCTGTCAGACTATTACATGAGAAGAATTCATCCCAGTCTGAGAGTTTGATCAGTGAGCGCAAGAGGTCCCAGTCTGCATGCTTATAGCAGGTTCTTTGAATTGGTCGGTTGTAGGAGGGATAGATGGGGAGAGCACAAGCTACTGTCCTATGATCACTGCTTTCAAACTCGTTGTATACTTGTACAGATAGGGGAATGATATCTCTACTAAATATTAGATCAAGTGTATTATTACCCCTTGTTGGGGTACGAACCCACTGTGACCAGCAGTACAAATTAAGGATTGATAAAAATTCATCATTGCTAGACTGACAACTACCGGTACTCCAGTTAATCCCAGGATAATTGAAATCACCAGTGATAATCTTAGCACTGAAGTTTAGAGTAGATGCGTGTATAAATGCATTGATTATACGATCATTCAAATTATCAGTACTATCAGGAGCTCTATATATACAACCTAGGAGTAGACTATGGTTTAGGGTATTGATTGATATCCAGATCGATTCTGGTAAACTATTCAAGATACTATCTTCAACTTTATTAGTTGTTAAGGTATTCAAAGCAAATATAAGACAACCGCCTCCTCGCTTAGTTTCTCTGTCACAACGATAGAGTCGATAGTTTTGGATATTTAATTCGGAATCGGCCACTGCTGGATAACACCACGTTTCAGTGATAAGTATAAAAGAAGGCTTGGTTAGAAAGGCTAAGGTTCTCAAGGCTGAGATTTTGTTCAGAAGTGAACGTGCGTTAATGAGTAATAAGTTTAAAAAGGGAGTGCGTAGTGTAAAAAAACCGAGAGCATCCTTATCGATGATATGAGTTCTAGCTATGCCTGGACTATGGTTTAATGTGTTTGCCGGATCGCATGGGCTATAGCATGAGCGAACTGTAGTGCTAGTGGAACAAGGGATCTCTGGAGGCCGAAAAAATAATCCTTATTTTGGTAAGGTTGAATAATTTGTTGTACTTGTTTTCGTGGACAATTAAGACAGGTGCCTGCATGTTGGGGTTGCGTTGATGGTGCATAACCTAGTATAACATCTTCACTGCGAGAGTGATGATAAGAGTTACATCTTGCAGGTTTATTAGTTATTACATATGGGGGAAACCATGGGGCACGTTGGTTTATTGCCGTCTGTCTAATAGTAGGCCTGCTTACCTGATGGTTGTAGTGGCCGTCTCGTGTAACGTTTGAACGAAATGTGTCATTATAACCTCCCTTACAATGAGTAAGGTTAAGCATAGTTCCAGAAATTATACTTTTGTTTGGTAAAGCCGTTGAAATATTTTTGGTATTCGGTTTAGAACTAGAAGGTTTTTTATTCACTTTCTTCTTAATTGGTATATTCTTTTTAGGTTTAGCAGTGTTTTTATGAGCCTTCACAATAGAATCAGGTGTTTGATCTTGGCTTCCGATATTACACTGGAAAGAATGACATTAGAGTCTCCATCAGATATATCCTGGTTATCTAGGGCCACTAGGGGTATGATAGGCAAACTAACACACTGCATTGATATATCAGTACACTGACTAACACGAGATAAATTAGCTGCACCTGTGGGTTCAGCTGCTGGCGCGATCACATTTGTTGTGACCTCAACAATGTTATTTTCGTTTATGGTACGTTTTTGTGTTAATCTTTGATTGGTGGTTTTGTCTGAGACTATACGAGCGTTTTTAAACTTCGTATGCGCACAGACTAGCTGTTCAGATTCTATCAAACGTTCCGCTAATAAATGGAAATCGAATCTAAACAGGATAGGGCACAAGTATTTTTGATGCTTTTTGTTAAGTCGGATACATTGGTATGGACTGTCCTGGAGATTAGCTACCTTTAGTATCGAGTTTCTTACAGTTTTAATGGCAACTTTGTCAGGTATATTATATATAATCACGTTATTTCGTGAGATTATTCGCTTGGTGACTTCGCTAGCTATCGAGTCAATAACGGATTCTACTTTGATCCTGTCTTCGAGTTCAAAAGTAACTATATCCTTTGACAACAGCAGTCGAAGGGGTGACAGTGTCTTTAGTTCTAGTTTAAGATCATCATGCTTTAATAAAGAGCCCGCAAGTGACTCCACTTTAGAACGCATATCACTTAATTGCTTATAGACAGCGGCTAATTCGCTCTTAATAAGATCGATACCATCTGTTCGTGAGAACTCATTATTAAGTTAGACATAGAGTCATCCAGCAACATGTGTGAAATGAGTCCACTCCCACTATTACCTGATGCAACAGGAGTTGCAGAGCATGGGGCGTGTTACGTTAACGGTAAACATAGCTGAATAGTTGGGAAGCCGAATTTGAGGGCTTCAAAGCAATCCACACAAAATTCCATAGTTTGCCTAATTCTGGAATGTAACGTAAGAATGAGTTTACGTCAGGGTGAGTATATGAGAGAAAGCCTTCACCTACTCCATGTAACCCCCAACTTCGAGATGAAAAATAGTTATGAAGAGTCACATGCATGTCACAAATACTATCAGCGGTCCATAATTCAGATATCATAAAGGGTAGTGTTAATGAAGGGGTGCAAACAGGTCTAAACCTGTTTTCCTATTACAGATCAACCAAGCGTTGCCAGGACATATATTACACAAGTAGTTCTTTGATAGCTCGCTTTGCTTATAACTAGGGTTTGAGGTGACTTTATCAAATGAGCTAGTGGAGTTGTTACTAGAGTTCAACCAGGAAAGAAGGGTATGAATAATACATGATTGAAATTGTACGAGGGAAGCGAGTTCGTATTAGGCATGTGGATTGAAATGACTTGGGCTAGATCCCTTGTCAGAGGTGTCACTACGGGCTGTACTACAAACAAATCCTATACAGGCTGACTGAAGCACACTTCTATTTTCAGTATAATTTTAATAGTAAAGCTAGAAGCTTGGGTTATGGTTATTTAGATTGATGTTAGCTTTTGTTTATCTTTTACAAATGTTTGGTTTGGTATAACGGTTTCCGTACATTCCTTTACCACCTATTTTCATCATATAATTTTATGAAGACTTCTGTCACCTGTCTTCAGTTTATATGTTCAGTTCACTCAAGAACTGAGTGTTAGAAAAGCACTGAGACAATTATAATACTGACTCATGAACGATATACATTCAAAGTACAAATAAACGCTAGTTCATTTTCCCACAACAAAGCCACGCGATTTTCACTACTTACGATACTACAAAAAACCCGTTTGATCAAACATGTGTGAAAAGAATTCAAAGGGTAGATCGTCGATGCTATATCGAAAAGTGGAGTACATTTAGCATGATAGAACAACCTAAAACTGACACTCAAATGCGAATCCAGATTTCTGTAATTCATTATGTGTCTTCTCCGTAGAGCTATCATTTGCCCGTCCTGCTGTGTATTGGGTATAGCTTTTGTATGATCAAGAATATGTTCAACGGAATTCAGAATAGACCAACGTGGCCCTCGAAGTTATGTCAGATCAAGATGTCGGTTGCGAGTGCTTTTAACATTGGTATCTAGAGTTTGCACCAACAGTTTTTCAGAGTTTTTCATCACAATCCGTGTGGCTGGTCGACAATCATTTCCAAGATAATATGAAACTTCTACAGAACAAAAATATATCATTCTCAAGCAGAGAGCTTTTCTTCCAACAATTATGATGGAGTCCCTTGCGTCACTGAATCTATGGCATAACTGCGTTTGAGTCGGGATGTGCCTACACCCCTCTCCAGTTCATCATATGAAGGAGCAGCAGCCTTTAAAGTCTTGTCGAAATTTACCATCTTACAGTTAAAAAAGGATCTCTGACGGCAGTGAGCGAAGGCTTACATCATATACCGTTCAGCCAGCTAGTAAATGCATCTGTGGTAAAATTGAAGACATAAGTCACCAATAACATAAAGTTGACCTTCCGAATGAACGGTTTTCTCAATGCTTGGATTGGAAATTCATTACTTACCGAAACTTTGAAAAAAACCGCGGCCCAACTGGAAGAATAAGCGATGAAAACAAGTGCATTGCATTAGCCGGAAAACGGACCACGCCAGTTTGAATAAATAATCTAAGAGGTCTCAAAAGATACTGGCAATACATTCTACTTTAAAGGATGACTTTTTAACTTATGACATCCTTCAAAATTATTTGCTGTACAACACATATCCGCGTCCATTTACGGTTGCTAACACATGAACCTTGCTAGGGATTTCACCTTATGACCAGCCAAATATCCACTATGGAGATCATCATGTTCATACTTGCGCAATGAACTATGAATTCGGGAACAAAACGGAACCAATATAGAAGAGAAAGTAAGTATAATCATTATTCTTTAAGGTTTTTTGGAAAACGTCATTTTTAGGGTAACTAGTCGCTTCATATTTGGTCGAAAACTGTTACTATCAACTAGGTATCTCAGACATTTGAAACCTGACACACAAAATGGACACTTACTTGGATTGACGGCAAAATGCCTCACAATTAGACTAATCAATAAGGCAATGAGTCTTTGCTCATGATCTGCTTTATCAGCACCACGAACGATAACATCATCTTGATAACCTTCGACACCTTGAAGATCACTGATCGCATTATTCAACACTTCTCAAAATATGGCAGAGGGACAAATTCAATCGAAGTTGTATTTGAGTCAACCAAAGGTGATAGTGTTAGTAGTTGTCAAAATAGATGCAGAATTGTCTGAGAGAACCTGAAGATGAGCATATATTACACTAGATTTTGAGAGTACATTAAGATCATGAAGTCGACTGAGAATAACCTCAGCAACTACCGTAGTTTATGTTTTTCTCAACAAACAAAAATCGAATGTTGATCTGTAACCACCCACCATATATTCTAGAGGTTTTGCCATCAGACCTCAAAGGTGTGAGAACAAGAGTACCCATGGTGATTAGAAATAGGTAAATTGATGTGCAAACTAAGGATTCTCATAGTAGTCCAACTTAAGGCAGACAGAACTCGATGAGTTAAGATGAATGTTTTATCTTTGCAAATTGAATTAACTGTAGAATTATGTGTAAATGTGTAACCAATTAATTTTGATACCACACTTCCTCAAGCTGTACACTGAATCAACTCAGTTATTCTTTTTTTCACACAAGCCATTTTATGCCTTACTCACTGAATCTTAAAGACAAAAGGACTATATGTCATCAGGAACGAGCTGATCACCCTATGTATGATATTCTATATGCTGGATTCTCATCTCCATACTGCGATTGACACATACAGCTATCAAACTTTCATGTAAAGCATCAGAATCTTACTTAGAATCAGAGCTAGACATAAACTTGACCATCAAAATTGCATTTAGCGGTTTCTTTCTGCGGTGAGACTATAATTTATAGATAATCTTTGAGAGATACTAAAGTGACCTTGACGCAACCTACCCACCTACCAGTGTTAAAAAAGGTTTTCGAATTAGTATAAAGAATTCGACAATCTATAATGCCGAAATGCTATTTGTCCGTATGAGTGAACGAATGCAGCTCCAAAACCCAAGACTTGCTACCTTTACTACCATTGGTTCGTCCATAAATTATAGATTTGCTGTTTCTTCAACTCCGTAATGAACCACCCAACTCTCCGGTGTTTCTGATGTATCATTTTGTGAAGTTTTGCTCGTTCACAGAATTCAAAGTTTATTCATTTTAAACAACTTATTAGTGGCTCTTTGAGAGCTTCAAAGTAAAGTGAAATATGCCTATTTGGAAATGCCAAATTTTTATTCAGCTGCAGGCTTCCTTTCCGATAAATGTAATTAAAGGAGGCACATTTTTATTATTTCTAAGATCTTTCCCTACCATACTCCAGATTTTGAACCACTCCATATACTACTTGAAGGCTTTAGAAGTTGAATGTATATCCAAATATCTAACCACAGGCTCCATCACAATGCCAATATGATATTTCGGAGCAATAGAGTTTTATATGCTAATTAGTAGCCAAGTATGGAGCAGTATTCAAGTCAGAGAAAACTCTTTGAGCACCGTCGAGGGTCAAGCGTTCATGATTCGAATCAACCACTGATTAATGTACAGTAGAATAATCAATCAGTACGAATGTCACAGATCCATCTTGTGAGTTTCGAAGAGTCTCTAGTTCCACCATGATGTTTTATAACCCCTCTATATGAAAACAATCTAATTACCATTACAGAGTGCAAATGATTTAATTGATGTTCATGGTTAGTGTTTATTTAGTAGGGTCGTTTTTCATGCGGTAAAGATGTTTACCTTGAAACTAATCCTCCTACATTACCTGGATATGAGACTGTCAGTAACCCTAGAAGGGATCAAGCCGGTGTTATGTGAGAGTAATAGTTTCAATTTATTACAATAAGAAAAATCTATAAAATTTGATTCACAAACAAGCTTTATTTCCATCTTCGAACTGCAGTAAGCAAATACACAAAAATCTCAATACCTTTCAAATCTCTGAACAAAAACTAGGTGATAAAGCATTCTAAGTAGTTTTTAGCTTCACGCAAAAAAACATTTAGAAGCCACTTTCCGTGGTTTGTTAAGTCTATGACTGCGGTGACTACGAATATGAACTACATTCTGAATTTATAACAACATAATTAAATCCATTTGGAACACGAATTTAGAAATAAAAACTCTGAGTCTAAATCAGGTGAATTGTGTACTGTGTTAAGATAGTCCCAATAGTAGCAAAGTATTTAAATTGTATGATAAGTGGAATAGTTCTTCACAGCACTTCTTTACCTGTGCTTCTAGACTGTATTAGCTACAGTTGAATGCAATTATTTGCCAGTATGATCAATGGTACTAATTTACCAACCTTTTTATATTTTCGTTCGTAATTAACAACATTTTTACATTTCTTGTTTTTGGCCTACATAGTAATGTTCATTAGACAGTCTTTTAAAATTATTTCTGACATCGAAAAAGAGTTTTTAACCTATTTGTTCTCTTGGCTATTTCAGTACTCGTATGCGCATGATGTACACGTCATTTTACTGAACAACAAGTCATTTCCTACATATAGAATGAAATAGAAATATGTCCACAAAAGTTTTATGTCACTACCACATTTTTTAAACCAGGAAATATAAAGCTCTAACTTCATACTAAATGCTTGGTCAGCCATTTTTCAACTACATAATTCACTTCATCGTTGGTAAGTAGATTTGACCATGCTCCTAAGTGGAAGAAACTTAAATTATGTATTATCCCGATATTCATAAAACTAACTACAAAAATATTGTAAACTATAAAATTGAGTTTGTTAAGCAAAATACAATTCATGAAAGACAAGTAGAGAACAGATAGATTTTTAAAATATAATCTCAGTCAAAATAAATCATCATGATTTTAACTAAAGAAGGAGCTGGAAAAAACTCTTAAGGGTAAAAAGTTAATGAAAAATAAATTTAAGTTGGGCATGGGCAGTTGTCATCAAAGTAGTTGAAGTAAAATAAGTAATGATAACAAAGACATTAGGCATCTTTTTTTCCGCAAACATTTTAAAATGTGTTTATCACCACATTGCCATCTAATAGACCGACAAATAAACAAAATAATAATACTCCTTGAACAGATAATAGCTAGAGCCTTGAACAGTGATCATGCGTATGACTACCTGATAAATCTAATGGGAAAGATACGAGCAGTAAAATAAATAGAATAACAAGGAAAGAATTCCTTGGTACATTAGAAACAGTGTTGCATGATTATGATCTGAATTATTTTTATTCTTTATATGACTATACTATGAAATAATTGATATGAAAATATTTAAACTTTCAGAATATATTTTCTAATAATGATACAAATTCTAATCATATTTTGCATATAGCACTCAATTTTGTATCCGTTTGCTAAGTGACTAGGCTGGAATATTTTACTGTTTCAAAACCATTAGGTCCGATGCACCAATTGATCAGTTTAGTATTAAAATTTACCGGAAATTCTTTCATGCATTGATAGAAAAAAAGGAAAATCATCACTAACTTAAAAAGGATAGATATTTCTTCCTTAATCTAAAATGATTATTCTCTGAAAACATTACAGTACGGCCAAATTTTGATTTAGAAAAGAGAATACATTACAACAATAAACAACAGTAAATCTGTTGCCGGTGTTGATAATCATAATGACATTTCCTCAGAAATGTTAAAGATCAAATGATTTATATACACTGACGAAACGTCAGTTGTATAATGCATGATTACCTGCCAGTTCACACTTCACTATAATAAAGAAATACTTTTATCACTGTTCTAAATATCTTCTAAACTGATTTCCCTCCAAATTTACCAACGACAATCACAGAATTGGCATATCTAACCATAAAAATTTTGAGAACTTCATGCCTGAATATGTTTCCGTATTAACAACCCAAACAAACAATAAGGAACAGTTAGTTGAGCTGAGTAGGATTGGTGTCACAGAGCTAAAACCCAGTCAACTTATTAGCATGGAAAAACTGATATTTTGGGAATAATTTGCTAATAAAAGGTAACCGACAAAAGTCAGTCAAACCGAAGATAGTTTTTGTCAAAGAGTGACGTCAGTTGGGGAATCATGGAACAGTGGATAACTTTGTCTTAGTTTTGAACTACTCATCAGTCCCAAATCTCTGTCTTCAGTTCTAGAGGAAAGCATAATAATTTAAACGATTGAGTCGGAATCCAGTGGTTACCATTTCCAACTGAAATCAGATTGCATTGAAGTGCAACATAAATTCAACAATATTCGAGAAATTTTTCATATCTACAAAACTTTGGTTTCATTAATCGACTTCTCACTAGAACGTCGAAAATCCATCTTAAATTTTGTCACCATAGAGTAGATGCTTGGTATAAAGGCGCTGTCGAGCCGATGCTAGTTTATGATGAAAACCGCTTTTACCTTTTTATTTTAAAAATAGATTCTATGACAGTATCTATTAAAAGTTTTGGTATTGTTATGTGAATAAGCAAGCGAATCCTATTTATATTTCTCGATAGCTTCATATGAATGTGAATATTAGATATAGTCTCCAAAGCATACAGTTAGCCGTGTACTTATAAATTTATAGTTACTTGAAGGTAAGCTAGGAAAAGCGTGTTATTTAACTGAGAATATATATATATATATACAGATCTGGTGGCTGGATCGACATCAATGACTGGAGATTTTTATCGGTAAATAAATCTTAATCTTAAAGGATAATAGTATGTATTTTGTGCTTAACAACTATGAAATTAAGCTAATATATGTTATGTACCGAAGCGAATTAGGAATAGTAACTTTTGACCAATATTATGCATATATTTTTATCGTATAATTGCTAAATAACTAAACTATTCATATTCATGTTCCCCTTATTATGAGGTTTATTTTGACTTATGAACTATTGTTATACGATTTACCATTCATGAATTACACCCAGTCTACTAATTACTGTTCCCCCTATTCACAGCCACATTTGCCTAAATCTCGTGCATATGTTATTTTCTATTTTATGGTGCTATGTGATCAGTTTGATTGGTATATAAACTCAGTATGTTTGAAATACAATGATTCATACTGCAGAGGCTGTTCTGGACTTAACTGTCTGGGCTAGGCAGATAACAGGACCTACACGTACTCTAGACTGCTCGTACGGTTTCCGTGTATCATTGGTCCGATCAATAATTCGCTGCTCTCCAATTGGCGGTATTACCACGTCATACATTTAACAAGGCATCCACTCGGCCACAAGTTATAACAATATAATCCAAGAAATAAAAACAAGAACAGATTTCACTTATGCACATCTATTGGGAACAAGGATATCATTTCGCAAAAATCTTGTAAAGCTCATCGCTGATAAACTAAACGACTCATCGACAGTTTGTTACACATCTCAGTGAGTGGTACAGAATTTACTAAGAACCGATTACATGCTTTCCTCTCAAAAGAAATTAAAACCTCAAATTATTTTTTATAAAAGGCCAAAAGCTCTTTTTGATTCAGTATTGCTCTAAGATTTATCAGCGATTGAAAGGTTATTCAACTGTGAATAGATTTATTACACACCACTGATTTCATGAACTATCAATGTTGAAGCGCACCTTTGTACAACTTGCTTTACCTATCATATGAAAACAAACATTTCAAGTGAGATAAACTTGATTGATCACTAAATACGTTAATTTCAAATGTGAAGAGATGAACTAAATTATAAAAGTCTAAGCCCTAGTCAAGAGAAAAAACCAAGTGTTTCAACACAGTGCTCTCAATTTATAAGAAAACTAACATAAACTGCGAACATTATGAAGGGGAACTCAGTTATGACCAGTTACACAGATTAAAGCTTTTCTTACCGTTAATTTCATCATCTACTTTATTTTCCTCCAGATCTTTTCCAGACTGTTCATCTTCTAGTTCTTCATCCTCTTCTTTTATGGGTTCATGAACGACATTAGTAGTTGTGGTGTAAGGAAAAGATTGTCTACGGTCATCTGATTCCCCGCGTGGACTGTCACTTTCATTAGGACAGATAGACTTTGAAGGAGCTGGTGAGTTTGCACTTGACTTAATTGATAAACAAATATATTAAATGTTACTTAGATATGCTGCAAAACCATATTTTTAAGGAAGTGATGACATGTAGTGTAAATATACGTGATCATGTATAGTATTGTTGACTGTTTACTAAGATGAATCCTAAATTCAGATTTTCATCCAAAGATTTTTGTTATAAAACGTTGGAATAGATAATATTCCCATTTGCCATCTGTAGTCGATATGAACTACACAACTATTTGGAGAATTATTTATACAAAACTGATTGTAACTTTACTGAACACTCTTCAGTCTTTTCGATTAGAAGCTTTTCCCTAGGTAACTTATCAGATAGTGATGCAATCAAAGAAATGGTTTGGATTTTAATTCTTATCTGATCAACGGAATTAATTATTTACAATAAGTCAGAAATAACATGAAATATGTTGGTAAAATTCGTGGCGAGGCATATTATCTACGTACACTTAATCGTAAACAGTAAAAGTTAGTAAACATTTTAAGGGTTTTTAATCTCATTATTTCTTTCGAATTTTCTTACTGTTAGTAACTCAAAGTCAAGCTGTTATTTTCTATTTTATGGTGCTATGTGATCAGTTTGATTGGTATATAAACTCAGTATGTTTGAAACACAATGATTCATACTGCAGAGGCTGTTCTGGACTTAACTGTCTGGGCTAGGCAGATAGCAGGACCGACAACTACACTAGACCGCTCACGAGATTCCAACCTAGGACCGTGGATGCGCACTGCTGAGGAGTCCCACGACGGGACGAAACGGTCGTCCAGTGCTTTCAGGTTTTCTACGGCGGTCTAGCTTCAATTGACTCATGTTTTCAAGTACATATAAAAAGTTACTTAAAATCTCCACAGAAAACCCCCTTAAAGTAATATATATTTAAATCGCAGACTATTAAAATTTTGAGCCAGTTAGACACTCTTATTGGTTCTAGTATGGCGCCTTTTTGGCGCAAAAGTATTTAATCAAAGTAATATGTTCGGATAGCTAAAGAGTATCTTTGATTTAGAATAGATTGGCTACAGTAATATAATCTCATTAGCTTACCATCTGCATCTGTCGTGCTGTGGATAAAGCTGCCATAAGATCGCGTAGTTCTGGACCAACAGGAACACTGATGATAAAAATAATTGGTGTGATTTGTAAGCATCATAAATCCAAATAATAAAAAGTTAAATGTAAAAGCTACGTACAGATCATAGCAAATTCAACCTAAAACTATAGTGGAATAATTCTGATTTTTTTAAACAGTAATTTTCGAAAACAACATTTTCATTAAACCTCATTGAAGATTACATGTTAACAATGTACATTGAAAAGAACTATGGTTGAAAAAAAACACTTGCTCTCAAAAACAAGCTTGTTTCCTTGTTAAAAATCCTGTGTTTTTTTAACAAAAAGATCTTCAAGTTCACCAATTTTCTAAATACTTCAGAGTGGTAACACGTGTCACAACACAAGCCACTTGCATTCGTCAGAATAAAATGTACTATTTCACTATTAGGACTTCAAATTCGACTATCAGTCAAAGTTTTTATGCATTAAATTAAGCACTTAAATAGATCATATATCATCCGAAATGTTGTGAATAATCACAAGCTTTGTACACTATTCAGAGTTACGTCAAGTTTTTTCATTAACCTCGAAAAGTCGAGGCACCGCTGTATTGAAAGGATAATGTATTTAAACTCAGGTAATATTGTGGCATGTGCTATTGATATCGATAGACATAAGTAGTATTTATCGTCAATCGAAAGTGAAATGCCTGGAGGCGGAAGGTTAAGAAGATCGAAGAAAATAGAACGAGATGAGAGATTGATTGGCGTGGGAATGAAGGAACAATAAAATCTGAGACTATTGATTGATATTTTGCAAACGAAGTATTTACTGTATGGTTCTCAGATTTTACTAAGATGTTCTGTAATTTTGTGTTTATATTCATTTGATTTTCCCCTCTTGTGTCCTCGTTCACTACATTATAAGACAATACAATAACTCATAAAATCCATTTCGTAAGCAATAACCAATTATAATTTATGTTCATACAGATAAATATAAAAAGTTATCAAAAGTTGGAAAATACCAATACTAAGTTTACATTTTGGACAGTAAATAAATTATATATTATTGTGACTTCTTGAAAGAAATTTATCTTTGATTAGTATTAACACTTTAATGAAATACAATTTTAAATTCCGAAACTTCCGATATCATACAATATCAAATAGTAATAGCCAATAGATAGTTAAAAGACTTTTTTAAACAAGATGCTATATTAGATTGTTTTCTAAGTATTCTAAGCCAAAGCTAATTAGTTTAAGAAGTATTACAACAGTTGTGCTGTTTCGTAAAAACAAATAGTTTCAAAATTTAGTCAGAAAGAGATGTGAATGGTTACTGAATATTACAGGCGAACAGTATGTATAAAAATAAGTTTTTGTATAGCGATACGGTGTGTCACATATACAACAAGAGCACAGACACTTTTGATTTGGTCAATCTAACAGTGTTTCACAATCCATATTGTGAATGGTGTCTAGACTACGGGAGAATTCATAAAAATGTCATAATTTTATAGCTTATTTAGAATTTTGAGTTATATTTAACCTTTGAAGTGAGTTTCCAACTTAAAGTTAATTATACAAGTGAGAGTGAGAGAGTGAAAGGTAAGTATTGCTTGGATTATTTTAACGGTTAATTGATAAAGATGTAAATTAAACCATTTTTCATCACAAAGTAGTTAACACCAATTAAATTTGATAAACACTGAATCACATTTCTAACGAATAAAACAAGAAGGGGATTTGTGGAGATTTCAGTATTTTTCAAAGTTGAAATCATGAGTCAATTGAAGCTAGACCACCATCGAAAACCTGGAACCGGTTAAGGGCTTCGTCTAGAAACTGGTAGGTCCTGGGTTCGAATCCCGCGAGAGTGGGTTCGTGGATGCGCACTGCTGAGGAGTCCCATAGTAGGACGAAACGGCCGTCCAGTGCTTCCAGGTTTTCGATGGTGGTCTAGCTTCAATTGACTCATGATTTCAACTTTGAAGAATAAATCAAGTGTTAAACAGTTAGCTTCCCAATCAAGCAGCATGTATACTTGTTTGAAATTAAAAATCAAACACTTCTAAACTTTCCGAAGCCTTAAATCTGCAAAAAGACGAACATGGAAAAAAGACTATTTGTGGGCAAAAATCTATGAGCATTGTAAGGACATTATAAGTGATGTAATTATAAAGATGGTATAATAATCGCCTTCTAGAAAATGACCTACCACCAACAAAAACAATATTTCATCCATTTGAAAGAATAAAATCAACACATTGTAACAGTTACTTAAACCTAAAGAGCTAAACACAATAGGAGTTGAGAGAATAAAGAACTCCAGCGAACCGAAAAAAAACACACTTTGAAGGTATCACGGCTTGTGAAACAGTTTTTTTAAGACACATATTTATATGCAAGTGATACATTCTTAGTTTACACTGAATAACAGTATCATACATCTTTTGATTCAACGCACTGATAATCTGAGCAAAACATAAGTTAGGAAGAATGAAACCTTTTGAAGATGAAGCTGATACGACGTCGTAGGAGGTTGAAAGTGCACTCTCTACGCAAATATATTTCTTTTTCAAATTTACGACAATGGTAATCAAATGATAATAAATAAGATACTTGTAAACTGGAGCTTGAAAAAAACTTTCCATTAAAAATTAATATGAATGAAGAGAATGAGTCAATTTGGTCGCCCAGACAGAATGCTAGGATATTTTTCATTAAGATGATGTAATGTACTGCATATCAGCAAAGCCGAAACTTAATTGTATCATCACTATTGAGAATAGTTTTATTTCAGTAATAAACTAAGTGCAACTGCGCACAGCCTCTATCTGCAGTAATATGATCAAGAATCATTTTTATTTAGTAATGTAATATATTGATTAGAGTGTTCCGTGTTTGAGCTGAAATTTGCATAATTCAAGTTCATAAGTGAAGGGCTTATCCATTACTTAAGTTAACTCCCAAAAGGCGTATGTTTGAGCGAGTAAACATTTTCAAATTGGAAAACATTAGCCTTTTATGTAACAACTACGATTTTATCGTTGTTGTGTGTCTGAAGTAATCATTTCGATAGTTATCTTCTAGGCCTAGGGTTTTTTATCTAACCACAAAAACACGATTCACCCTATGATAACCGACTTAAACCACAATGCAGCATATTTAACAAAACACTTTCTCAGATTATAACATCAAATTTCACGTTTCACTAGACCACATGTACATCTAAATGATCTTGAAGACTCTGATTTGCTGAAGTCTGATTTAAATCATAAGCACTGATAAAAAAATAAAAGCATGGTCTTCAAAACCATGTTTCAAATTACAAGCAACCTTACAAGTGTGAAAGTTAGCTTAAAAAATTTGTGAAAGGAACTCTTATTTAGTATTTTATAAACGATATAAGAAAACACACCAAGTTAACCAATTATCAAACAAAGCTTCGATGTTGTCACGAGTTAACATGGTCTTAATGCTCAATTGTTTACATAAAAACCATTCATCTGAACCAGTCTTAGAAACAAAATATGAAATAAATCAGGAACTACAAGAACTAATTGTAGAGGAGTTATAGGCTGTCTACTTATTTTACTGATTCTTCTTCTCTAAGCCCTAAGAATTTCCACTTGCAAGAGAGTGCTCTATCATGGAGGAACATGAAAATGAAAACTGATGGCATTGTAGCAATCAATTTAATAGGGCTTTTTTTACGTTGTTAACTAAGTCATAAATAATAATTCGACAAAATTCATAGCAGAAGTTCTCAAACAATTGACAAAATTACACAAAACGGTGAGTTTCAAACTTCCAGTCAAAATGCTAAGAAGCCGGATGTGTAGTCACAAGTACCCTATGATTATTTGGACTCATTACAAGCGAATACATTGAATAGTAACTACAAATTTTACACACCGCATTAACTATACAATTTTCAGTAAATACTATTGTAAAGCGTGTCTGAATTTTAATCAAAAGACAACAGTAAAATTCACTTGGTATTGTAGGTATCATTACCAAGTCTTGATTTGATAATTTTGAATAAATTGAGCATTGGGTAGATTGTTTTAAATAAATAATATATTTGTAATATCCCAATGAGTAGAAAAATTAGATTTTCTGACGTTTCGTGACTCAGCGTAAGCCACATCTTCAGAGAATAAATAACCAAATTGGTATTGTTTGTTTGAAACTTCCCATTGATGTTTAGGACTGCAGTTGATCAGTCTCTTATTGGCACATGTGCATACTGCGTATTGCCTCGATAAAGCCTTAATTTATAAGCATTATAAGCAAAGATGGATAGTCCCAGGGTGAACATCAACTCTGAGATGCAGGTACATCTAGCTGATGAGTCTCGACTAGGACGAAACGCGCATCCTGGACTCCACTACTAGCCACTATCCATCTTTGCTTAGAAAGACAACAGTATTCTAAGAGATGAGTATAAAAATGGCTCAAGTATGTTCATTGATACCTAGTCCTAATGAATAACAGATTTTAGGAGTGAAGTAGCTATAGATTAGGAAATGAAAGTAATGAATATATTACTGATTAGTTCGATAAATTTAGGAGACATTTTCACTGTTTTTCTATGATGCATACTATAAACACCGTAGAGCTGTTTCATATAACCGTAAGAATACGAGTTTTTTTATGTGCATTATCTTGCTTCCGAGTACCGAAATGAAGTTGTTAATAAATAGAATATCCAAAATATGTGGATGCTTGCTTACATAATAAAATCATAAAACATCATTAAGTTTTGATAGACCTAAAAATAAAAGCCAAAACCTCTTAAATAAAAGAGATGTTAGCTAGTATAACCATAGCACTTCTGAGAAAAAGGTTAAATAATTTTGTTTAAAGAGTACCATATCTTAAAATGAACATCTCATGGAAATTAACGCAGCTTACTACACTTACTTCACATCATAAATAGACCCTTTCCTTGATCCGACAGTTAGACGTCTTGACCGTTCCGTATGAGGAAGTTCTACAACGGATTGTCTCCAATGGGCGTCTCGTACAATGGCAGGTGCACTTGTTCTCACTCCATCTACCACACACCACGAAATCTTTAAAACGAAGATTAAAACAGATTGATGACACTGACCATGAAGTGTAATCCTTTAACAGTCACAGACTATTTTTTAATGGCACATGATAGCATAAGCTACCGTTACATTTAACTTAGATATTTCATTATAAGAACGGAAGCACCGATACAGACTGCGAATTCTTAATATATCTGTCAAGTTACTAGACTTTGAGATACCATACAAACACCAAATCAATAAAAAAGTTATAATTATCCAGAAGAAAAGGGTGAATAAACTGTAAACAAATAGATGTAGGATTATGTGTTCAGCAGACATCCCAGTTATTCTATTCTAGCTTTTTAGTCTAAAATAAACTAGATAAAACAGTTTCTTTTTGTATTCGAGCAATCATAAATAGTTTTGATTTTTGAGGCTGCGATACAGTTGATATCAAATGAATTCTCAAAAGACTTTAGGCAAATGATAAAACGACTTATCAGTAGCTCAAATTACCATCTGCTCATGTTTAATATACCGTCCTTCTTGCTTGCTTTTTAAATTTTGTAACTGTATCGATAAGTAAAATTAGTGACTTCTGTGACAAACTTTTTAATGTATTTTTTTACCCATTTAGATTATGCGTTTATTAATTCGCTGTGTTTCAACATACTAATTCCTAAAACTAATATCAGTTCACTACTGTGAAAGAGACAGAATTCTTCAGGATAAGCAGATTGATAGATTGTACATTATTTAGAAAGTATTGAAAAATGTTGAAATTTACGAATAAATAAACATTCAGTTTAGTAATGGGGAATTTTAATGCATTCTAGTATCAATTATTGTATAATTATCGTCATTTATGAAAAGGTGGTTCAATGGATTAGAAATCATTATATGTTTAATCTTAATTAATTTACATTATATTATTATTACTGACAAATCTAACTTGAACATTTTAAAGTTACTTCATGAAATTGGATTATGGGTTTAGCTTCTGAAATCAAAGTATTATAATTTATTAAAATTTGTCTGTGATACAAAACCTTTAAATCACTGAAATATGGTCGTAAAAAATTGATCTAATTTACGTGCCTATTTTATTGATGTAGTACATAGCACTTTTGGGCATTTCACATTATTACGGCTACTTTGAAATTTAGTTAATAGTGAATGACCACGACTAGTAAACAAGAATTTTATCTGTAATCATTACTTTTTAAAAATTATTTTTCCTTATTTCATCATATTTCGATTATGCTAATGATCAAAGAGAAATAATATACTAGACTAGACTGACCAAAAATAGCCAACTGAAAAAGCAGTGACTCACTCTCCAATTAAAGTCGATTATCTCATTAATATCAATATCTTCATCATCTTCTCCCATTGGATTCACAAGTGTTTCAGCAACCTAAGTAAAAAAGGTAAAACAGTAGGTATTGGAATTGAAGCACAAATGTGTTAACTTATTTGTTAGTTCAAAATAAAAGTTGATCATAATTTGATTCATTTAAACTACTGTTAACTCTGACATTGGATGAGATTATAAGTGATACATTCAATGTACAATATACATGCTGAATCCAACAATTTCGGGAGTTTTCCAGTTTATCTGATGGATTAATACTGTATTCTAGATGTCATTTTAAGCAGTGGGAGATGTCCTCAACTATCTGAGGTGAACTTGTAAGTATAACACAACTCGCAAGCTAAACAACACAAATTTAATTGAAGTCAGGGTTTGTAATGAAATATTTAGTAAGAATTACACCCTGATATACAGCACTTAATAAATGGACAGGAAAATGACCAAAAGTGCTTAGTACATCACATTTATGGAATAGTAAGAGTGTTGCGGGTAATCACAGCGTTGAAATTTCAATTATGTATAAAATTAGTTGTAGACAAAACTAATGATGGCCAGTTGGATTATAGTGCTTATTTTATCCGCAGAAAAACGGTAAAAGGTAAACTACAGTAGATTCGACACCTTATATTACTTTTAACTCACTTTTAGCCATCCCACATAAACAAAAAGTTCCAGAAATGTGAAAAACGGGAAGAAAACATCATGCGAACGTGCTATGCCTGCAAAAGGTGAACTGCTGATGATGAATTGACTACTTATAAGAGATGCGACAAAATAGGAGTATACAGATAGTGTGACAACCTAAATAATTATGGGGAAAAACAAAAAGATTTAGATTCACTCAACAAATACGGTATGTCTTGATTGTTTGAGTAATACACTTGTATAAGATATCTTGTTAATTCAGACAAACATAAACTTCTTTCATGAACTTTAAAAAAGACCACTTAGTTTTTTATAGATAAAATTGGCCCAGTTATTAATCAAAGAAATGTGGTCGCCTAATTGGACGAAGGATTCCAGACAAAACTGAGATAAACTGCAGAACGTCTTTTTCGCTGTGAATGTCACACGTGATTATTGGTCAATTTTAACTTTCGTGACAGTCTTCAGTACAATTTGATTTGTGGATGTATTAAATAGCTAAATGATGGTATTAACTGAAAACTATATGTGATAGAGACAAGAAATTATGCTTAGTCCTGATTATCTGCTTAAGAAGGAACTTTCATAACATTATCCACAAATGATTTTAAATATACAGATATGAGTGATCTACTTCAAGAATTTGGAAATTGTAAAATCAGACAGCTGAAATTAATCCATGAGTGCCTGTAAAAGTTTCTTTCATCACACTTTGTAGACCACATTTTGTTATACTGTTGTCGTAAAATCTGTTACTTAAATAAAAATAAACATGTATGTATCCATATAAACGGCTAATTTGAAAACAATATTCACAATGATAGATATCATTTGAGTAAATTACAAAGTGATGAAAATGAAACTATAAGAAGGTCAATGAAAGTTTGGTTATACATGCCTAACAGGCTATTAAATACAACAATCGTAACTCCATTAAACACACCGGTATTTGTGAATTCATTTAGTAAAGTAAATAAAACAGAAAACTTGAAGTAATTAAATTCCTTTCTGTTGTAGATGTTCTGTATATCTTGATTTCATTCTGCTGCCTGAATGTTACTGATAGCTGGAAAAACCTTGACAAAAAGGATTTACTGTTTTCTTCGGGTATTCAGTGAATCAAAGTAATTTCTCAGGAAAGAAGTGAACTGCGTTCTTCACATGTAAAATAAATAAATGTTTTACTAATATGAAGGTACAAACCCTTGAAATTTAAAGATGGAAGCGTTAGAAACACTCAAAAACAAAGAATGTAAGACCAGACAATTGTTCTGAATAACTTCGTGATCAGACACTACAGTTATAAGTGTACAAGTTTTTGTATCATAATGACCAAAAGGAGAGAAATATAAATAAATTAATTAAATGATGTCATAAAAAGTTTTACTTTGATTAAGAACACTGTTTGTTAACAGTAATGACGCTCAATTACAGTTTAATCTTACGGATGATATGAACGCAGCTGAAAAGTATGCTATTGGTTAAACCTTCGTCGGTGAGTAGTTTAAAAGAATTGTTTCTGAGTAAACGTGTTTATGTAGTTTTTTGTATATGAATAAATGACGGTAGTGATGGGTCCATTTCAGATTTAGCCTAACGAAAAATAATTTTAATTCACTAGAAGTCAACTAACATTTGTGCACAAAAAACAAGTACGTCGATCTTCAACTAAGGTAGAAACTCTTTCGATCGACTGAACAGACAAAGGAATAAAATGACATTATTACTAACCTGTGTATAAACCAATGGAATACAAACATCATCCATCATCATTACATATAATATTTTTTGACGGAAAGTGTTAAGTTCCTGTAAGAACGTGGGAAATTAGGAATTTTAGCTATAGAAAATACCAGAAAGTACAATCAAAAGTCAGTGAAACAAATTTTTTATCAAATATAAGTAAAATCGTTTGGCTATAGTAGTTCTATCGCCTTATTAAACTATTTAAAATTGATCGTAGATTTGATGGTAAAAGCCGCCGGATCGCCAAGTGAGATTCTCATTGTTTATTAAAACCTACACATCAAAATATAAAGCATTTGAATCCAGACACACATAGAGGACCATACTTGCAAAAATCCGTAAATAAGTCAAAACGGAATTTTAATTTATTATCTCAACTGCATTACTGTATTTTTGTCACAACATTAAGTTTTTTGTATTAGCTTAAATCGATACCGCACTAATAAAACACGTTTTTTCTCAACACGATCAATAATCATTTGTTAAAAAACACGAAACTACACACATTATACTATGACAAAAAAGCTCAGTTCTAATACCAGCAATTATTTGACAAACTATTTCAAAGTATTTATTAGTGACAATAATCAATTGCATTTCTGACGTAGGCTAGCAAAACACATGAACTTACTATGACAAAAATGTATTCAAGCACTCAAAAAACTAAATTTTAATAGTTTTTCCACTAAAAAAACTGATAACTAATTTACTGATTGATCAATAGCATATGAGTTTGAACGTTTCACTTCTAATTCACGTTGCGTCAATAACTTGGTATCCCGCTTTACTGTTAATCACCAGTCAGCTTATATATATATATATATCACATGTGGAGTTTCTAATTGGCTGATTACTACACTGCTACTATGTTTAGTAGCATTCCAGAATTTTCAGGAAACACTAAGGAATTCTAAAATACTATAAAAAACCTATATTTTCTGTACATAAATCAACCTTTGGAGTAAATGGTTTTTCACATATTTTGCGCCTGTGTAGATTTAGCTTGGGGGTTACGAGACCAGCTTAGGATCCGAGTATAACGTTCAATTAACAAGACTTATCATAGACCAAATATATACTTTTGTAGCTGACCGTTTGCCTTACTGTATATATTCATCTGGATGTAATTTATATATATATATATATATATATATATATATATATGTGATTTTTCACTTTCGTGATGTTTCTAACAAAACTTCTAGTCAACGCGGATTGGATAGAATGCTTCTTATTGTTTCCTGAGCCTTTCTTGTCTATTGCGAGAAATTTTCTGCATCACCCCAACAGTCTAATACTGGGGGTGCTTCAAGAATAGCTGTTTTCTAAAATGTAGGCTTCCTATAACAAAAAACCTGCGTACCTGAAATTTTTATCGCCTTTCTACATGACTCAGAAATACTTATGAGTTATTCTTTTCAAACATTTATGTTTGCCATTTTTAGTAAACTCCTTTTAAGCTGTCTATTCTTAAATCATTAGGGTTGCTGAAAAATAACTTACATTTACCAAAAGAACGTATGCATGAGGGTTTTTGATTAGTCCTTCTTTTCTAGCTAAGGTGATAAGAGAAGTCGCCCATACAACAGGAACAAATGGTTGCATATGAACAGATTGTACACTCCTAATAATTCTTGCCTCATCTTCGGTAAGTATGCCTGTCAAAATAAAAAGCTGAAATATCTTATATAGTTGCAAACTGATATGGTGAACACATAATTTAATGATGCTTCCTTGGGTAGAAATTAGTTTTAATTTCCAAGGGAAATCAATCGAAAAGTCAAGTTGACAGTATACAAAGTTCTCGGAAGCCTACATCTGATGGTAATTTTGTAAATTTAAAGCATGGTCAAGCAATTTGTGTAACTCCATGAAGTTACTATTCATCATTCATTTAAAATTAAAAGACAACCATTGCAGAAAAATACTATGACTTCATTTATTTTAAGGATTATATACAGCTGCTTACAACCTGGAAACAATAATATTTATCTTCAAACAAATTTTTGAAAATTTCCGCAATTGTTGCCCTTTGTTAGCCCACATCTACATCCCAAACCTGAGATTAATCAAGATCTTTTCGACACAAAATATTTATATTTGTTTCATTTCTGTTCATTAGAAGCTTTAAAATGGTACATAACAACCCCGTATTGGACAAAATGATACCACGCACAACCCAGAACGTTGACATTTAAATGAGGAGTTGTGATCTAGATATACTACTTTACAACATTAAATGTATTCTGTTTGATTTACTAACACATAATATTGAATAATACGAAAGGTAAATAAATTTTGTGTAGGACTACAAGCAAAATATTTCATTGCTAAATCACCACTAGTTGATCGAACAAACCTTCATTTAGTAATAATTTGATGAGCTTATGTCAGTCAATCATTTTAAAACACGATGAATTCCAACGAAAAACTGCTTTAATTTATAAAAATCTGATAACTGTAGATTTTATAAAGTTTTCTGCCATAATGTTAATGACAGATATATTAAAAAAACTACTTACTAAAGTAAAGATAAATAATCCTAGTACATATGTTACTTGTCGAATTTAAAACGCATATATATTACCTTATCCGTTCAGTTTAAGAAGTATATAACTACATAGCTTGAAGCACGCCTATTTTATGCTAGACATCAACATTAAGTTTGGGCAGTATATGAAGGCTGCTTGTGTACAAAACAATGAATGCAAATCTATGACCATGGAACTAATAACACACATCTCGTCGTAAACTACATAGTTGAAGAGTATTATGAAATACGGAAAAAATATACGTACTGACAATTTAATGAAAACGGAAAAGAGACAAGCGCTTTTATGACCAACATAAGAGTAAAGGTGATATATGGACATCCAAAATCTGGCCAACGCTACTTTTATGCAATAGGAAACTCTCTTAAAAACTACCAAGCATACATTGGACTGCATTTTGGTAAACTACCTTTAAGATTCAACTTAGTATTGTTTGTTTGAATAAGATTTCTGTTAAATTAGTTACTCTTTACACAAAAGTAAGCTAAAAGATGAATATGAAGGTTTATATGACTATCTGATGTTCATCTTTATCACGTATTAACATTATCAGGGAAATCTATTCCAAGAATAAAGAATTCATAGATCGATTTAACAATTTACATTCATCAGTCACGTTTACTTGTGAAGAGCATTTTGACAAAAGATTGTATTCCCTAGACGTTTTGTTAGACGAAAAAAATGATGTCTCTATCGTCATAGAAGTCCATCTGTACGCCGGTACTCAGGTTTTTGTTAGCTCCTCATCCATTCGTTACAAGAGGAAGTGAATTGGGTCATTCTCAAATGAAGCTAGAAAGATATGCTTAGATAACATGATAAACAGAATCTACAGTTTATACACAATACGCTGATTAAAATAGGCCACCATTAGGCTTATGTATATGTATACAGTAAATAGGAAAATAGAGATCGACGCTTTGTAAAAAAGACCTCTGCATGAAGTTACAATTCAACTAAAATATAATTAACAATATACTATATAAAAGACTAACCAGGACAGTCGATCTGTTTTTGTTCTTTCAATAAAGAACAGTTCATTTAGTTTTGCCACGTGTTTATCTGTAAATTTCGCTGCTCCCCTAGATAAAAATACCTGGTGAATAGTTATATGACTTAGTCAACAAGTTAGCGAGTGCCTCCCTTAGTCGTTGAGAAAGTATCCGACAAAGTCAGTGCGCAGCTCTGTTTTATTAAATCTGATCGATAGCGACCACATAGAATATGAAACCAAAACATTTAGATTGGTTCATTGAATCCCTTTAAAAGTCCTTTATTAGTGTTCTATTTGGTCTCCTTCATATAGCAGAAACTATAAGAATCCAAGATAAAAAACTTCATTTCTGTATTCAAAATAAATTTGTAACCCCTTTATCTCTAAGATATAAAAATGTTCAGATTGTAAATTAAAGTACCACATATAATCAACCAATATTGTTTCCAACTAGATCGCCATAAGACTTTAATATACCTGGGCATTTTGGAGTGTATAAAAATATGTAACCAGTCAAGGCCATTTATAGGTCAATGATCATAACGAAATAAACTTTACAAATAAACATAATATAATGAAGGCGACAAATTAAAAGTGTGAAGACAGGTGTACTAGTAGTGGTCAGAATAATAAAATAATAAAAGATCTAGCCTACATTTCAACATGAGAAAGAGGTCAAACTTGAGCAAATAGACTTTAAAATGACAGTAAAAAAAAACTGGTAAAATTGCTCAAAACACTAATATGTAAATGAAAAATATTCCTTCCAGTAAATTTTCTTCAAGTTCTGCAGATATACCTCTAAATTAATAAACCAAAAAGTGGCCAGGTTTAAAGCTAAGTACGTCGTTTAAAATTATAATATGTGAATTTAGGGTTGTGAGATAAAATAAAATTGTTCATGTTGATATGATTAATATGCAATGTTAATTTGAATAGGTTTATACGGTAAATGAAATGGTGCTAAGTAGATTAATCATGTGTTCAACAGAATAATAATGATAGTAAATCAGTAATAATAACAGTAATAGTAAGAAGATATGTTAACAAAGAGGATTATATTATTATATTATACCACTATATTGTGCAATATTCAATCTCAGTTTCAACATTTTATCTTATCATGCTGAGCCTTCCTTTCCCAATTGTAATTTCCCTTCATGAGGAATTTTCAAGCCCTCAACAATAAAACTATTTTCAGTTTCATAAGCAAAGATGGCTAGCAGTGGAATCTAGAACGCGCGTTTCATCCTATTTAGGACTCGTCAGCTGGATGTGCCTGAAATTTCCAGGCAGACCACACAGGATACATATATGCCAACAAGAGACTGATCAATTGCAGTCCTAAACAACAATGGGATGATACAAGCAAACAATACCAACTGTATTTTCAGTTTCCCTGATAAAAATAGCGTTTTTGATACATTTGTTTACTTTACCTCACTGTTACCATGTTTAACAGAATTTTATTCTCGTTATTGTTATAATTATTATCACCTTGAAAAATAAAAATTTACTTGCGGTTGTACAGCTTTAAAAATAAATTCACTAAAAAGAGAACTCTTCGCTGAACCAATCTTTCTCACAATTTTACTTGACTAAGAAAGGTTGCCCCTGTAAAGACAAAAGTAATAGCCATTCGGATTAAGAAGACGGAACTAAGTGTACAAAAATATGTAGCTTCGACTGTTCTTCTTACCCTGGTCAACCTCATGGGAGAGTAATCGATAGCAGTCTGAACTGTTGAATGACCTAATCTGACTAAAGTACATACAACCCTTCTTAGTCATATGTAATTGTCTTTGTGATATAGATGATAATAATTTCAAAAGTTTGTTTTTTAAACCTTTGACCAACTTCCTATGTATTTTGTCTTGTTACCAGGTTGTTTACTTTTCTTAGATTCACTTCTGTGTTCGTCCTCTTACTACCAATTCGTACTTTACTAATTACGATTAGTCATGTAGCCCTTTTTTATTGCTATACCTAACTAATAAATCCCCTTGACTGATCTGACAGTTTTCATTTATGCATATAACTACTACCATCAATAGTAAGTGTTTGTTTATGTGTTTTTCTTAAGTTGGTTTTACTGAATAATGTACACTGAATTTAAGCTCAAAAATCTGCTTAAACAATAATAAATTTTCATATTAATATTGATTCAGTGGTTATTGAAAACAACGTGTGCCATTGTCAAATTATTTTGTAAATTTTTCAGCCCCACAGGATTATTAGTTTTTTGTGTAGCTTAAGTGTTCCGTGGCAAGAGCCGAGGTTCCACTTGAAGACTCTCCAGTATATAATCCGTCAAGATTGACAAAACCTAATGTATAGACGCAATTCTGTTTCAATGTAAACGATCTCTTCCCCTAATTTCTAACCAAAGCATTCTGAAAAGTACTAACTTTTTCATATAAAGCTTTCAGAGCATGCTGTAATCCTTCTGTCATGCCGCAACAGTAAGGTAAAACTACGGTACCAGTCCAAGATGTTTCATTGAAATTGTCATTTAAATATGGATTGTTTCCTTTTAATATGCTTTTAGTAGTATTCATAGGAAAATTAATAAATCGCAGGATGTTTATCATTTTATCTTCTTTTCTCAGCCTATGTTCCTTTGAAGTAATGATTTTGGTAGCTATTCTGAATAGGTTCACAGCCAGGGAAAGTTTTGCATTAAATGGCTGAGGAGAGTTGAAATCTACGTGCCTATTTAAATGAGTCGGTTTTTAGTATGTTGTTAAATGTAGATTTCTATTAAAATTCACTTCGACTAAACAGTTGAAGGTAATTTGATGTGATCTGAGAACGTGATCATTATTTTAGAGGAACTTCTGAGGATAGTCTTTCCAATAATGATAAATGTGTAATTACATATCTGAGCTAGATGCGTGGCCTAATGGTACTGACAAAAATCAGTGACTCAATATGCGACATAAATAAATTAGCAAAATTGGAGACGTTAGAAATCCCATGGCTACTTCATTTGTTTAGTTCCACAACGTCTCTTAAGAGGTTGAAAGCGTTTAATTCAAGCATGGTTTGATTGACTTCATGATTAAGCTAATGCACAACGGAGATCTGCTGGATAGAGCATTATAATTCTCTGTCAAATCATCCATAAACTCTAAGCGTCTATCGATTAGAATACTAGTTTATAAAGATACAACATCATAGCTTACCATTGTTGCGTTCTCTTTGATAGATAATTTCGAAACCTTTGATTCGGAAGGCCACCTCTACTTTCTTTCGACAAATTAAGAGAATTATTAACAAATTATTTTTATGTGACATTATACAGAACATGTGAAAAAGGACAGTTCAACAAATTATTTCGTGCCCCGAATCAGAGTACTAGAAATTTTATACTACGGCTCTAGATGTAGGCTCTTAAGTCCGATATTACTGGACATTTGCATATTCATCTTAGAGACCAGTTGACTTCCAGTGTGACTGATTCTAAACTTAAGTGACAGCTTACACTAATTTTTTTTGTACCCTTCGGTTAGCTGAAGATTTCTGCCTCACATATTCAAATGTTAGTATTATTACTAACAATGATGTTGCGACACAACATGATGTACCATTTGTTATATCCCGAAGAGAATTATGAATGGTAACTTCTGAGAACTATTTATGGACCCGTATGATACGTCTATTTCCTATCGCATAATTGCTATGTAACTTAACTATTCATATTCATGCTCCTCTCATTATAAGCTTTATTTTGACCCGTAGACTATTACTATGCGAATTACCGTTCTTGAGTTATTCTCAATCTATAAATTACTGTTCCCCACATTCACAGCCACATTTGGCTGAATCTTGTACAAACGTTATTGTCTATTTTATGGTACGATGTGGTCTGTATGTTTGGTATATAAACCCAGTATGCTTGAAAATAATGATTCATATTGCAGAGGCTGTTATTAGTGTTCTGCGCTTAACTGGCTGGGCTAGGCAGATAGCAGGACCAACAAGTACTCTAGACTGCTCGTACAGGTTTCGTGCGTCACTGGTCAGATCGATCATTCGCTGCTCTCTAATAGGCAGACTACAAATTATAACAATTCGCGTTCTCAAGATATAACACCGTTATTGAATGTGAATAAACATAATACACTGAATGACCTTCAGATTTCCTCGGGAAGAATCCGCTCTAATTCATTCAGCCAAATGAATGATTCTAAAATTACTTCAAATTCTTACAAATGTATCAAAACCTACATTTCATGTTATAAACCGCATCTTTGTAGTTCATGTAAGTTTATTCATGCACGCCGCCATGAATGCGGGGGTGCGGGGCACATTGGGGACATTTTTTATAAAATTTCCAAGTCCTTCATAAGCAAAGACGGATAGTGGCTAGCAGTGGAATCCAGGACACGCGTTTCGTCCTATTTGGGACTCGTCAGCTGGATGTACCTGCATCTCAGAAATGTTGTTCACTCTGAGACTCGAACCCAGTACCGTTCGCTTCAAACACCAAGTGAATATAACTTCGCTCCATCGCACAAGCAGGTGGCTATCAGGACTCAGTAGCTAAGTGTATGATGCGATGGCGTTTGAAGCGAACGATACTGGATTCGAGTCTCAGAGTGAACAACATTTCTGAGATGCAGGTACATCCAGCTGACGAGTCCCAAATAGGACGAAACGCGTGTCCTGGATTCCACTGCTAGCCACTATCCAACTTTGCTTATAAAACTTGTGCCTTGAGGAAATATCAAGACAGATTGCACAAGATGAACATATGCCAACAAGTGACTGATCAATTTCAGTCCGAAATAACAATAGGAAGGTACAAGAATACAACACCAAGTTAATTCCAAGTCCTTTGTTTCTAAAAAAGTGGATAATAATTGAGCGGAATCAGCTGATTTTTACGTAGGAATGGACTATTTATCACTTACTACCAACTGTTTAGGTATCTTACACATGATCCCGGTTTTAATTATTAGCACAGGCAAATCTCATCCATTTACCCTTGATACTGATGACACAGAGTTAATCGTTTCTGAAAAAATTTGTTGTTTCTTCATAACGACGTTTATTTAAAGTCTAAAAGTAATGTAACCGCTTGTACAACTAGTCATTAGTTACCGCTTATTAGGAAAGTTGACATACCGTTAGGGAGAGAAAACGGTAGCTGTGCCAATGTTTCTTTTCCTGTTATTGAATACAGCCTATCTGTAATTAGGTTAAAAGGCCCTAGGTTACTGAACACCTGTATTTTTTAGCCAATAATTTCTCCGATAGCACCGTAATCGAGGATCTGACCACATAATGCTCACAGCCCATCAGGCAGTCAGTCAGCTACAACGTAGGACCAGGCACATTTATGCATCGGTTCAGGTTGCCACACCTCGTTAACACAACAAGATGAACACCGGATTAATAGAAGTAGCTAATTTAGTGGTGGTAGTATATAAAAGAAAGGTTGTATATAAGGATATGGTATAGGAATTAAGAAAGTTATAAAAGCAATTTTATTCTCAAGGTTTACGGGAAGATAAAGAGTGTATTCACCTACACCATTGTGATCGATTCTGAGCCGTGTTACCTAGAGTCTCCAATTATTGGTTACAATAGTCACGCGGACCCCAACTAAGTAGTCTGCTCACAGCCCATAGAAGTTATGAAAATCTAACCCGTGAACTTTGAAGCAAAAACCGAGTCTATTCTCTTAAAGCGTTCATTGATTATATATCGTTTAATAAATAGTGTGGAAGGAAAAATAAATGCAACGGTTGAAGAAGAGATAGTGATCCCTGTTGAGCAATTCAGTCGGGTTATTCCAATTGTAACTTCATTGAAGGTCGAGGAAAAACATCCGAAACTTGCAGTGAAAATGACTTGACACTTAATAAAAGGCTGTTGCAATAAACATTCACAGTTGAAGAGACTGAAAATCATAAGTAAGAAGGTCAAAATGTCTTTCTAAGTTAGACCTAAAAATGAATATCTACAAACTCCACTTGATGGAATCTCTGGCGAACTAACTACTATTTTTACACCGTTTGGGCTATTCAGAAACAAATTCCTGCCGTTCAGAATAAATGTTTTCGGCGCGATATTCCAGAACGTCTTAATTCATAATATTACCGATCTTTATAGTGCTAAATCGTATCAAGATGATCTTTTAGTTCATGCTGCAGATATTGAGTTGCGTAATGAACGTTCTTTAAGGTTATACAGACGGTTTTGTGATATAAACATTGTCACAAACTTATCCAAGTCCCCGTTTCAACTTAGTTCTATCAACTTTTCAGGCCATATCAAATGTAAAGGATTCGCAATCTGATATGGGTTATAATAAGCTTAACAAAATAAGAGAAGATATATCACTACATACTGGGGTCCATTTTGTCCCTTATTGACGGAATAATTATCCTCAATACTTAGATTTGTAGTGCTAGATGGTCTTCACATATATGTGGATTAAATAAAGATTCATGAAATATGTGATCTTAGTTTTAATTCTGATCATCGTTTAACTAATCGTAACTCTGTCAATAATTCTAGACATCTGGTAGATGATTTCACTCTTAATTCTCGTTATTCTCTGATCGTTAATGGCTTTAGATAATTCTGAATTCCAGTTAAGTGAAGATTAGCCAGATTAAATTATCAACACCTGAAAAGACAGCGAACGTAAGAAGAGTGTAGTGAATAACCGGTTTAGCTATCGTACAGTTAAATATTTTGTGTTGTGTTTTAACGATACAACAAAATTCCATTCTACCTATTTTAGATTGAAACTCTTAATTCTACTTTGTTGAAATCCCGGCTCATTTGGGATTGACAGTAAATCGTAAGATTATTTTAAATCCATATTTAGCTAATCGTTCAGAGGTATGACAGCTAGGTTGGTGGTATGGGTTGTGCTATTCTACTAATAGGCATATCATGACAAAAACTAAGTTCGAAATATTTAACATATTCCAGACGGCTTTATTTATGATTGCTTTGCGAATATACATATTTTATGAGTTTTACAGTCTGAAGACTATCTCAATCATTACACTCACTTATCGACTTCAATGTAGTTAGAGATAAGCCCGTACAGCTAGAAGTGTTGATGACTTGGTTGTATCAGTGTGCAACAGTAGCAAAAGTATGGTTCAAAAGTTGCCGTGTTGCCTGAAGACTTCATTATTTCATAGTTAAGAATCATTAATTGATACTTTACTGTAATATGTTTCATCCCCGTGCCTAATACTAAGCCCTCAAAAATTAATATAGAGTTGTCTGACTTCAGGATTTGCCTCTCATCTATAGTACGCAGATACAAGAATAAAATGTGCCATTAATTAGTGCAGTCTTATTTTGGCATCATCGTAAGAGCAAACTTAGTGGCTTTTATACTTTAGGTAAAGTCAAATATACTTACTGAAAAGTGCAACCAGACAGCAGACCGACATCTGGATATCAAACGTCTGTAGATTGTGTCACGAAACCGACACTACTTCAAAAGCATTCAGTCTTAGATAAAACAAAAGCTAGCAACACTGAAAACTAATATGTTGGTCCACATTAGTTGATTACAGTCATTGTTACAACATAAAACAATCAAAATAAATTACCTGAAGCAACAAAAAGCTCAAAAGTTGGAAACCGCTTCTTGACTACGACATTAAGATGTGCAGTTGTAATTATTAGATTTGCCATAATATATCTCATGCATGTCCGACGTATCAAGCGATTGCGTTCCGCGCTACCGGGAAGGTGGGTAACAAGAGTGAGTGCAAAGCTCATTACCCACGGAATCGTCGTGAAATAGTTCCAAAAGCGTGCGAAAACTAAGGCAACATAAAAGCCAAGGATAAATGCAACCGGAATCATGGCTTGGAATTTGGAAGTAAATAGAATCAGACGTTCGAAATTTCTAAGATGTCAGTTATCTATCAAAACAGATTGCTTACCTTTGTGCGTTCTCAGTGATTACAAACCGATACAAGCAGCTAATCAATATATAAATAGAAGCAAAAATAATGAGATCAAGCGAAATCAGTTTCAAAACACCTCCTCTCCATCTAAAAATGAAAATAAAGGAAAGTTTGGTACTTTAAGAGAAGGCGGAAAAATATTCCAGGACCTCCCGTAAGGACAAACTGATTGTACTGAACAGTCATCGAAAAATTTCTCTTGCACGTTTTCACCAGAATATGATATCACTGAACGATACCGATGACGTAAAACGAATAAATATAACCCGAAACAATCAAACAAAAAAGACGCAAAAGCTGAAGTTGTTTTCCATATAAACTTAACCGGAATGCAGATCGAGAGGAAACTCTTGAAATACCACTTGTTGTGAGCTACTGAAATTACAGAAGAAAACGCGAATGAAGAATAAACATCATAGAAAGTATGGTTAAAAAGAAAGAATAAACTAACGAAAAAAACAGTCAATTGAAGCAATCATTAGGCACTCGAAATAAACCCTGAACAAGAAACAAGTGCGAACAAAAACATTGCCGTTTGTGGCTATATGGTGAACTCAACAACTGAAGAAAAAAACAAAATAAGAATCCACGCGATATAAGAAAAATAAAATGAAAAAACGCAAGTAAAAAAAGCAACCAAACAAAAGATTTAAACAAAACAAAAAAATACTCAAAAAAGAGATATTTTTTCAAAACATAGACCTCAGAAAACATTGTACGAGAAACAAACAGTACATAACCACCATCACAGCACACAGGATTCTACACGTGGTATGACACTTCACTGACCAAGACATCAAGAGAGGTGATTGTCACTTGATGTCTCCTCCCTGTAACATATTGTAGCTGTATATAATTCCCAAAAATCAATAGCTCATTAAGTGTTCGTCATTGGATGCTGACCACGTTGTTTAAGTAGACTTGTTTAGCTGAAGGCTTTCGGTTATGCATCCGTACCAGATCAAGTTGCAACACGGCGTGGGACACAGCTCCTACGTTTCATTAGCCAGCTTATAGTAAAGGTTCCTCGATATATTGGTGACGTATCAAATATATCTTTCCTACGTCTCCTCGTCTGATTTCTGGTTTCTGTTCGACTGGGAACGGACGATTATAGAAGATACTACTGGTTGCTAGTTGTAAAACTAGAATATCCGTGGTATCCACAGTGGTGAGACCGATGTGATCTGGTACACCAAGCCAATATACTGTGAGTCTGTTCCATTTTGGAATATTATTATTCATTGTTATTCTTTATTTGAATTTTATATATAGTGATATACTGTTTTTTCGCGAATTTTTTTCCCAGGATATATTTCAATTAGACATTTTTCGTTATCTATATTACTATGACAGAACACTTACCTAAGGTTTTTAAGTTAAAATCTATTCCCCCTATTTCCAGTCAGTTAACGCTATTTTGACCAGACAATATCGAGTCCTGGTTCTGCTACGCAGAAGCTGATTTTTGCATGCACGGAATCACGAACTTTCGATGATGGCCAATTCAGACAACTTTTCTTGTCCAAACTCCCTCAACAGGTGCAGGCAGTGCTTGTTTCATTTCAAAACAACGCCGTAGATGAGCTGGCTGCATCTGCCGATCGAATCTTAGAAATCACTAAATTTTCTAAGGCCGAGGTCTTTTCCGTCAAGGAAAAACCTCAATCGACCCCAACTGACATAACCGAACTATGTCACACGCTTACACGATATCTTAGAGTTCGTAATGGCCGTAGTCGGTCAAAAAACCTGCGTAGAAGTGCCTCACGTAGACGATCAGTCTCTCGACCACGAGAGACAGATAATCCCGACTGGTGCTGGTATCATAACCAGTAGGGTAAGTTTTTCCAGAAATTGCAGGAAACCTTGCATTTATCCGACCTCAAAATCGACTGACACGAATAAGATTTCGGGAAACTTCCCAGCCGGCACGCGTTAACGGCAACCGTAGCCGGCGAACACTGCCGTCTGTTATACGTCACGGATGTGACTACGAAAGTACGCTACCTCGTCGACACTGGCGCAGAAGTTAGCGTTCTTCCAGCAAATCTCGACGACAGACTTCGCGAGTCTGTTTTAAGTTTACAGGCGGCAAACGGAAAGCCGATCGCTACTTACGGTAAAAGGTACGTCTACCTTAACGTGGGTTTACGTAAACCCATACACTGGATTTTCATTGTTGCAGATGTCTCTATGCCAATCATTGATATAGACCTGTTACAATACCACAATCTACTCATCGACACACGCTCATGAAAGTTAATAGATGGAAACACTAAGTTATCTGTTTGTGTAACTCCTTGTTCTGATTGCAGGTTATCCCCAGTCACGATTAAACACTCCATAGACCCCTTGTACCAATCAGTACTCGACAAATACCCCGGGATATATCAATCGCAATCGAAATTGCCTTGTGTAACCAGCAATGTTACACATCACATCTCGACTACAGGACCACCTGTATTTTCGAAAGCTCGAAGACTCGCTCCCGAAAAACTTAGGTCAGCCAAAAACGAATTCGATCATATGATAGACTCAGGGATAATTCGACCATCGAATAGTCCATGGGCATCCCCATTACACATTGTCCTTAAAAAGGACAGCAATGATTGGCGGCCAACTGGTGATTATCGGCGTCTGAGTGCTAAAACCATTCCCGATCGTTAACAGTTGCCTCATATATTCACGATTTGACAGCTACCTTGAAAGGTACAACTGTCTTTCCGAAAATCGACTTGGTTAAAGTTTATAACCAAATACCGATGGCACCCGATGACATTTTTAAAACCGCCATCATCACTCCCTTCGGTCTTTACGAATTCATGCGAATGCCTTTTGGTTTAAGAAACGCGGCTCAAAACTTCCAAAGGTTTATAGACGACGTTTTTCGAGGTCTCAACTTCGTACATGCGTATGTTGATGACTGTCTAATAGCAAGTCCGGACAGAGAATCGCATCTCAAGCATCTGGACATTGTTTTCGATCGACTCCAAAGGCATGGCATTACTGTAAACATTCAGAATTTGCCAAATCGGGACTAACTCCTTAGGCTTCTTAGGACACATTATTGATGCCCAAGGCATCCGACCCCTTAGGAGCAAAGTGGCGGCCATTCTGGATTACCCAGAACCGACCACGATCAAACAGTTACTAACTTTTAACGGACTCGTAAGTTTCTACAAACGGTTCATACTAAAATGCGCATCCCTCATGAAACCGTTAATCGACCAACTTCGTGGAAATGCGAAATCAATTAGATTAGACGACACAGCCCGTAAAGAATTCTCCACAGGTAAGGAACACATCGCTAAAGCAACCTTGCTTGCTCATCAGGACACTCAAGCGCCCACTAGTATCGCAGTAGACGCATCCGACTCAGCAATCGGAGGAGTCATACAACAATGGGCTAACAACTCGTGGCAACCTTTAGGATTTTTCTCGAGGCGGTTGTTAGACGCTGAATCTAGGTACAGCACGTTCGGTAGGGAACTCCTAGCTATGTATTGTGCTGTACGGCATTTCCAACATTCCATCGAAGGAAGAGAATTCACGCTTTTTACCGATCACAAACCTCTTACCTTCTCTTTAGGTTCATCTTCAGACAAGTACTCACCGCGAGAGTCTCGACAACTCGACTACATTTCGCAGTTTACTTCAGACATACAACATATTTCTGGAGCTAACAATGTAGTCGCAGACGCCTTGTCTCGAATAAATTCCTTGAACAGTTTCCAAGGAATCGACCTTCTTAAACTCGCTCAGCTTCAAAAAGAAGACATTGATCTTCAACATGAGTTATCCTCGACAACTCTTAAACTAAGTATTAAGCAGATGGGAACACAGCTACAGGTAGGGATCGTCCAATAGTACCAAAACATTGTCGACGCAACGTCTTCAACACGTTGCACAATCTTTCTCATCCAGGTGCTCGTGCAACTGTCAAACTTATAGCCAAACGCTTTTGTTGGCCTGGCATGAATAAAGACGTGAGGGAGTGGGCACGCTCCTGTGTAAGCTGTCAGAAATCTAAGGTCATAAGACACAACAAATGTCCCTTAGGCTCTTTCAAAAGCCCTGACGCTCGTTTCGACCACGTCCATCTAGATTTGGTTGAACCCTTACCCGACTTAAACGGATACTCATATCTCTTAACATGCGTAGACCGTTTTACTCGATGGCCAGAAGTAGTACCGATTAAGGACATTACTGCTGAAACCGTGGCCCGCGCTTTCGTCGAACGATGGGTAGCAAATTTCGGCTGCCCTTCCACAATCACTACAGACCGCGGACGCCAATTCGAATCCGGACTTTTCCGTTGTCTCACCCCACTATTAGGAATCACGCGCTTCCGAACGACCGCCTACCACCCACAAGCAAACGGGTTGGTAAAACGTTTTCATCGACAACTAAAAGCTTCATTATCAGCTTCAAACGTTTCACAGTGGACAGACGCTCTTTCACTCGTCTTGCTAGGTATCCACAATGCAGTGAAAGCTGACATTGGATACACGGCATCTCAACTCGTTTACGGAACGACACTCCGACTCCCAGGAGAATTCGTGGATCCTTCAGCTTCTTCATTGAACATGGATCTAAACTCTTACACGAGTAGGCTTACAAACGCTATGCGTTCAGTTAAACCTGGTCACACTCGACCTCAATCAACTGATGTTTTCGTTCAACCTGACTTACAACATAGTACACACGTCTTCATTCGTCGAGACTCACATCGACGACCATTCGAATCAGCATACGAAGGACTCTTCAAAGTTCTTCGACGCGAACCCAAGTACTATGTAGTAGATAAGAACGGTACGAACGATAGCATCAGCATCGATCAACTCAAAGCAGCGTACTTAGAAGGAAACCCTAGCAACGTCGATTTTCCTTCTGTACAAGCAAACGACACAGCCACTACACTCGTAGTACCTTACACGACAACCGACACACAACTTGATAATTCGTCAACGTCGATAGATAAACCTAAAATAACGCGTTCTGGAAGACGAGTAAGATTTCCAGAACATCTTAATGAATATTGCACGTAGGACACAGGCATTATCTTGAATTACCCTTCCATAGTTTATTCTGAAAAAAAAATTTTTTATATGATAATAATAAAACAAAAAAAACATTTTTATTTATTTATTTTTTGAGCGTATATATATATATTTTTTGTATATATAGAAAAAACATTTTATTTCCCGATTTTTTAATATGCTCATTTTTTTATTTATGTAAAAAAAACAAAAAAAACAACATTTTTTTGAGCGTACATATATATATATTTATATATTGAAAAAAAACCCAAAAGAAAACCTTTTTTCCGATCGCTTTTACGCTGTTTGTAAGTGTATTAGTTAATGTTTTCCGCTCATTTTGTGTCCTTACGCAAGTACGACTGTATTTTCGACATGCACACGTTTCATTTTTCCTCTTTTCCAGGACGGCTGGAAAAGAACGACGAAGTTTCGCAAGAAACCGAAATTTTCATTATACTATATTTCTTTATTGCTATGTTGTACATTTTGGTCCCATAGTTTAAGGAAAGACGACCAGATGCTGCTAAACGAAGCAAGCTATCAGAAGAGTGTTTAACAACGACAAACTCGTTGGGTTTAAACTTCTGGCTGGTCACGTTTAGGGGCATCACTACCTCACTAGGGGAGGAGTGATCTGTAGCTGTAAATAATTCCCAAAAATCAATAGCTCATTAAGTGATCGTCATTGGATGCTGACCACGTTGTTTAAGTGGACTTGTTTAGCTGAAGGCTTTCGGTTATGCATCCGTACCAGATCAAGTTGCAACACGGCGTTGGACAGAGCTCCTACGTTTCATTACCCAGCTTATAGAAAAGTCCTCAATATATTGGTAACGAATCAAGTATATCTTTCCTGCCTCTTCTCGTCTGACTTCTAATTTCTATCTGAATGGGAACGATCGAATATAGAAGGTGCTACTGGTAGCTAGGTGTAAAACTAGAATATCCGTTGCATTATCAACATCAATTACCACTTGTTATACTACATCATATAATCAACTTGGTGATGCATTTCACAAACTTGGTCAATAAAATCACCATGACAGTTCTGAGAAGAACACTTGTTCACAGCGTGAGAATAATCCAATCAAGTCAGTTCATTTGATCACCTACTAGCCATAATACTGTCTAAATCTTGAATTGTCAACCTAGTTATTCCACTCTTTGTCTCGTCTCCAATACAGCTTCTCCTGCTTTTGTGTCATGAAAAATATAGTCACATCAATTATCCCTTGTTATACCTTGGTAAAATGTGACCAGTCGAACCGAAGCACTACACAGTTCGCAACTTTCTCATCTAACTGTCATTAGCATGAATAAGGTGGTTGGTTGAATCCAGGAAACTTGGATGTCTGCAAATGTGAATGAGCATACTACCAACCCATTGGTACATCGGAGAGAATGAGAAATATAATCGGTTTCCATCTCCCAATTCAACACACTACATCGTCACTTAGCAGTAATAAGCTAGCCACAATCAATCGACAAACCGAATGAGTCGGATGCTATCAATATCCACAGGAACCCTGTTCCCATCAACCACACCTCGGAACCAACCAGAGAAAATACTAAGAGTAGTGTTAATCCACCACAATACCAGACAGAATAACTACACGTGGTCTGACACTTCACTGACCAAGACATCAAGAGAGGTGATTGTCACTTGATGTCTCCTCCCTGCAACATGTCTTGCAACACAATTCAGACTGACTCATCCAGTGCATCACTCCTAATTCATTATCGAATTATTTTCGTCCATACACATATTCTTACCATTCTACTTGATAATTTAATTTAGTACCAACAGGTCTTCGAACCATTTAACTCTCCTTTCTCATCTGTTCACACTAGTGAATTACCGTAATTAGTCTTCCCATGACAATTCTGACGCAAACAACAGATAAGAAAAGTTAATCTCCGAATTCTCGCGGTTTATTAAAACACACTGTATTGAGCGAACACTGACACCACATTCAAACGTATATTTCAGTGTCCTGGTGAATTAATCCCATAGTAGGCAGCAAATAATCACATCCTAGTCAAACTGGTGCCACAAACTCGTCGTAAAGGGTTCTGTGTGTGCATGTTGGATTATTTACATGAGAACAGTGTCCTTACACCTGACATACGAATAACACCTGAGACAATATCACCTCTGATCAATCACTCACACTTGTGAATTCGGTTAACTATATTCCAGGAACTATCACTTCCTCACAGAGCTAGTCAGTCACGGGTGTATATACTAGTATTCAACCGGTGCTCACACCATGTATGCATACACTCGTTGTCTAATCAATTATCACTTATCTGTAAACTAGTGAGGAGGAGATTCGACACGTCACCTGATGCGATTTATTCTCACTTCGTTGTACATAAAGGATTTCGTTGTTCCTCAATAAGAACAAGTTCTCATCAAGCAACATTTTAGATGCTCCTTAATAAGATTGTTCACTTGATAGATGATCTGTCAACGGATAAACACTGAAATGGTGTGATCAATTGATCAGATTATACTACATCATGTAATAAACTTGGTGATGCATTTCACAAACTTGGTCAATAAAATCACCATGACAGTTCTGAGAAGAACACTTGTTCACAGCGTGAGAATAATCCAATCAAGTCAGTTCATTTGATCACCTACTAGCCATAATACTGTCTAAATCTTGAATTGTCAACCTAGTTATTCCACTCTTTGTCTCGTCTCCAATACAGCTTCTCCTGCTTTTGTGTCATGAAAAATATAGTCACATCAATTATCCCTTGTTATACCTTGGTAAAATGTGACCAGTCGAACCGAAGCACTACACAGTTCGCAACTTTCTCATCTAACTGTCATTAGCATGAATAAGGTGATTGGTTGAATCCAGGAAACTTGGATGTCTGCAAATGTGAGTGAGCATACTACCAACCCATTGGTACATCGGAGAGAATGAGAAATATAATCGGTTTCCATCTCCCAATTCAACACACTACATCGTCACTTAGCAGTAATAAGCTAGCCACAATCAATCGACAAACCGAATGAGTCGGATGCTATCAATATCCACGGGAACCTTGTTCCTTTATGTATTTTGCTGTTCATCATTCGGAATATTTGGTCATCAAGCAGGATTGCACAGCAATGTATGTTACTTCCATTCGTATCTTATTTCATCTCGTTTTGTATGGGAGTGATATATCATTCAGGTTATTATAGTGGTCACTAAATGTTTCACCAAAAGTTACTCAATTCAGTTTTAGTTAATATCATGAGGATTTCGGATATTATGATAACAGGTTATTATTAATAGCACAAGGAATTGATGATTTAATAATAACGTGTAATGGAATTAATGTTTTTTACAAATAGTACGTTTCAGTAAGTCCTTATGTACAAACATGTGATAAGATGTTATGTTCGGTTTCTTCACCAGTAGACACTCAATAGCGTTTCGACCATCTCATCTACGTAAGCGGCGTACTGCATGAGCTTTCTTGCGTATTTCATTTTCTTGAGCTCTAGTTCACAAAAAGGATAAGAATTTATATTCATGAGCTTTAAAATTCTTGAGTGACATAATCAGATGTATCAAATAACCTGTTACAGCTTTAAATTTGTAACGTAAAACTTAGTACACATGTGTTTGTATCAACTCAGATTGCTTCAGTTCATAAGCGAAACGAAAGTCATTCTGTACCAGTAATGATTATGAGAACATGCGGTGACAATAGACGTCGTACAATGAATCAGTGGGACTAAATTTACAGCATACATTAGAAAATAAAGATCAGTGAATAAACATTTCATGTTACACAAACTAACACCTATTAAACACCAAAATTATGAAGATTTAAACTAAGTGATGCAGGGTGACGGAAGTCAAGCGTGCTATCGGATTTTGAGTCATGATTCATTAGATAAAAACGATGTATTGAATGAACTCAACCATTTCACTAATACGACCTTAGTCATTCAATTGCAGATATAAAAATAATGCTCATTGACAGTATTTTTAAGCTAAACAGAACCGATAATATGGATTGTGTTCCAAACTCTATTAAACATAGTTCTACTTCGTACATTGGACTTTTTATGGTATATTTCAATATAGTTGTAGGATAGTTGGACATTTCAGTTACTCATCCTCGTGAACCAGGCAATTTATTTTATTTAAGCACATAAATATTGGTCCAAAGGGGAACTAGATATATATGTGCCACACAAATCTCATTTGACTTGTGCGAGGGCTGTGATACTACCCAGGTGCCCAAACCGAAGCAGTTAATTAGTGAGTTTCTAATCTTCTGGTCACAGTCTAGACACGTATTATAAAACGAGCGACAGTCTTCTATCGAGCCTCTTCAACGACAAGTTCATCGTTGGTTTGGTGCAGAGTGTTACTGTGTTAAGCGACGTCTCTTCTTATGCTTAAAATTAGCGCTTCCGAAAAATAAACAATTGGCTAAGCACAGTTGAACAAAAACAATACAAAGTAGCGACTATATGCACATTATTTTGTTACTGATGCATATATTTAGGTGGCACAAAATATTGAATCACAGAGGTAATTAAACTATTCATCACACAATATTTCTCGTGATCACATAAATACCGCCTTACTCGATTTACCTGGTATATTTTCAACTTACCCTTTGTTTGAGTCTACAAAATTTGAAGGTTGAGGCGAATTGGTGAATGAAATTGCGCCGCCACTCATTCTAAAGTCTGGATCGAAATTAAATACAGGTGTTTGCTGGTGATTGGGAAACGCCGAAGGAGCAATACACGTATATACGTTTACTGCTGCCGAATTGCTTGGATTTGATGTGCTTAATAACGCATCATTTTTCTGAACACTTGAATTCGTAGGGTTAACTGACACGAGATTATTAGTGGTGGTGAATGTGAATTTAAAACCGGTGCTATTCAGTAACTGAGTTTGCTCCAAGGACGAACGTACACTAGTTGTAGTACTTGGTTCGATACCCTTTAAGTCAATGTTGCTGTTAGTACTATCAAACTGAGATGGCCACTTGAGTTGAGGTATATGATTTGTCTGTAGAATAAAGTCGCCACAAGCAAGTGATTCTGATTGTTTTTTTTGAGGTGATTTACTGAATGTATCAGAAGACTTCGTTTCTTTATTCGGATGAACCTTATCGTCTTGCTCAGAATCATGAACGTTATTCGAAGGAAAAGCTTCCAACTTCTCCGAATTATTAGGACCTCGTACACCAAACCCGAACTGGAAATGGCCAAGCGGTTGACTAGCTAATTTAGATAAGCTTGAGTTATTTGTAATTGTGTGACTATTCGGTTTTCCATTAGGTTTTACTGTAGAGCAACAGCAGCATTTATCCGATTTATTATTTTCTACCAAACAAGTGGGACAGTACCACACACTTGTTGACATATTTGTAGGCCTTAAAGTTTGACAGCATATGCAATTGGTAGCATTTTGTTCATTAAATACCATGCACGTAGGACACTCCCATTGCGAAGCCTCTTTGTTGATTGCTGATAAGCTTGATACTGACGTTTCCACTGTATGTACAGACGTTGGGGCAGACGATACAAAATATAACTCTTCTGCATGCTGAGGTTTCGATTTTGGAATAGAACAGCCTTGACATGCAACCCTTTTGTCTGAATTCTCCAACAAACAAGTTTCGCAACGCCATGCATTAATTTCTGTAACTGAGAAAAAAAGAACTATTTTATAGTAATAATACCATACACAGTAATAAGTGTTAAAGTTACTATGATAATTACCGAGCTATTTGGCTGTAACACTGGTGGTACCAACTCCCGTTTATTTGACTGAAAATCAAACGGCACTTTATATTCAACCTTGGTGGTGATTCGCAAAATCAAGGGGGAACATTTACGCTCAGATATCTCGATTGAGTAATCAGTATAGAGTAGCTCTCTAAATACTCAACGAATTTTAATTAGGATCAGTGAGAATTATAAACCTCATTCACGTTGGCTTTACTGAGGTGTCATTACTACAACAATCTTTAAAGTTATCTAGTGGGTTATATATTTAAATTCGTAGCTGGTAATCAACGTATTTCCATAATCAACAATGACTGTTCTAATCAAATAAAATCAGTTTTTTAAGTTGATAAAACCCAGAGAAGCTAGTATAACTCCACTTAATCACATATAGCTTTGCACTTCAGATTTAACAAATAGTAACCCTTTATTAATGAAAGTTTAGTGAAAAATGAAGACTCCTGAAAACTAAAACCACACGCAAAGCACACTTATACATTTATTATACAGTTCCACATGTTAATTGCAACGGGCGACTCGAGACGATAAAAGTGGCATGACCCATAACCGTTAACAAAGGCGCCGATGCATCCAATGCCTACTTTTAGTTTTTCAGTTTGGAAGATCATACATTTTTGTTTTAAAAATTCATTAATCGTATTGCCCGTATATAGTGCTTCTTTATATTATTGATACTGTTACTACTTCTAATGATCTGGCATTTGTTTCAATAATTTCATCCTACTGTTCTGAAATGGTGGTAATTTGGACTGTGTCAATCAATCACCATCTACATAGAACCTGAGACAGATATGAGTTATTATACCACATTAGCACAATAAGGTAAAATTAACAAGATGTATGACAAAAAAGATCGCAATAATGTGGAAGCAACGGTAATTAAAAATACTAAGCGTTGAGAATATGATTTGAAAAGATAGGGTGTAAAGGCAGATACGAAGAAATATTAAAATTCATGATCAAAAGTGAACTTTTTGAGCAGTTACGAACGATTCCAACTGTTTAGATTAGGTTGCGTCGATTGCGATGCATTGGAGTCTTACCGTGAGATCACGACTCCTACTAAGGTACACGTAAGTTACACAAAAAGTTTAAAACAATTAGCCCTTTTGATAAATTTCGATTATCTAATAAGACGAAGATTATTAGAATTATGTGTATTTGCGCAATACAAAAAGACATGTTAATAATCTAGTAGAATTGGAAATTTTACAGTTTAAATTAGCAATACAAGTACATACTATTTTCAATGATCACCAAAATTGATATTAAAAATGTTAAAATAATTCAAAAAAACTACAGAGGCGAGTAGCCAAAGCGTTTGACATAATGCTAGATCCCTGTGTCCTCAATAGGGTGGAAGGTCTGAATATTCATCTAACCTGGGTTGTTTATCCAAACAACCAGACCTGACCTTATTTATTTCCCACACAATCCATACACAGACACCCAAACCTAACCCTACTACTTTATATTACAAATGCATATTTTATACCCACATTCTGACCCACAAATTAATACGGTGATAGGTCATAAAAATTTACCTTGACCAAGTATAACTTGACATTGACATGTTCCGACCTATTATGATGTTGCTTGTAATAAAAATATTCTGCTTTGTTTCCTTTATACTATTTAAACTTGTGTTAATTCAGTTATTTGTTTACTCTGAAGTGGCTTACATCAAATTCACGAAACGTAAGAAATACAATTTTTCTACTCATTGAGATATAACAATAAAATATATTTATTATAAGATTTTAACTGAAGTTTGTTATTTAGTACTACACATCGTCGATGATTCATTTGAGTGAAAACTAATGAAAATAACTGCCTTTTATTATCATAAAAATAAAGCGCTTGGTTGTAATACTATCAACGCACACCACCGTGTCCATGTCAACCTAGCTTTTGCAAAAGTTCACCGGTTTCACAAGAACATCGTTATAGAAAAGTTCTGTCATAAAATCTTATTCAGTCGTAAAGTACCTATTACAGTTCAAAGATTGGGACGGTACTACAGTCAAAAAATATTCAGCACGGATTAGGGAGTTTATACACTAATACACTTTTGTAGCGTCTTCATGATGGTCGACGAACTAGTTAACAAATGGAAAATTCAGACGTACTTGGCCAAGAATCCTTATTTCAAGGGTTGTTATATTGAGCGAAAAAGGGTAAAGGAAGGAGGAGTCTTTGAGAACTATTTTTGGTGGATCTTTTTTGTATATCCATCGAATACTTGGTCCACGGTACAAATGTATTGTCCTGATTGTAGACCCGCATTTATGTTAATGATGTTTCTAGGAGTCTGTGAATTTTATTTCTTTATGTGCCTGCAACAATTATGTACAGATTGCAATTTCTTATGTATGATGAGTTGTGGTTAACTAATTGATGTATGTATTGTTTTGAGTCGTATTGAGCTAGCTTATGGTTCTCATGTCTTGACCAAAGATTGGGGATGGAAAATTGTCATATATCCACAAATCCTGATACCAACGATAATGAGCTTGCTTCCCCCTCTCCATTCCCTAATATGGTTAAGCGTTTAAAGCCTCTTCAGTATAAATCCTGATACCTGCCTTCACACAACCAAGGAATTATTTACGAAAGTGAGAGAACGAGAAGTAGACACCCAGCACCTAGAGAGGGTTGGTGGACAAGGTCCACCTGAGGGAGGAGGAAAATTTTGATTCCTAACCTATGATGCACTTAGACTCTGAAAAGGAAAATACCGTTCTGATTTTTACTAATTTAAACATATACACTAAATATATATGCGCGACGAATCGTCATTCCATTTGTGTGAGGGCTGGAATACTGCTCAGGCGGTTTTTTGGGGGGTGACACCTGGGCCTTTGTCCTAAAGAGCTTATTCACAAGGTAGTGGAGCAACGTTGGGAAATGTAGTCCCATGGTAGCCGGTAACCAAAAATAGATTCATACGTCATTCGTTCCCTCAGGATTTATTTATTTATTTGAACATATAAATATTGGTACAAGGGGGCACCAGATATGCATGCGCCACATTCAGGATCCTGAGGCTAATATACACCATTGGTTTGGGATCATGGCTATCCAACTCCCCTAGGTGAGTCCTCCGCACCCACTAGCCCAGTTAAAGAGCCGGACATTCAGTTATCGTTCTCTCGATTTCGGAAACAATACCTTCGCACATGAAGGCAGCGAGTAGAACCTCCCTGATAGTGACTGTATACGCGTGACCATGTGAGGACGTTTAAAGAGGGATAATGAACTCCCCACTCTCGGCCGTACCACGGCATTTGGGGACTGACCTGATGTTCGAAAGTACCTGTTCACGTGCGAAATGATCTTATAATGAGTATTCTTTTACTTCTATTTATAAATTCTCAACATCAAACTCAGGTGACCTATTAAACAACATTTACGAATGATAAACTTGCAGTTAGAGAACTTACTTGGTTGGTCTGAAAGATTTGAGAAAGTGTTCTAACATCCTGGAATGAAATGTTAGTCGCCAACATTCTCAGCAAGTGTCTACGTTATCTATGCAGCAACTCTCATGAGTCAAGCTTGCTACAGATTATGTTTAAAGTATGGACTTTCGAAGTGCTTCGAAGATGGTCCAGGATCCGTAAAAGACTGATTAGCAAGGGTCGGGTTGGTTTCTAATCAGGTCGTAAATGTGCTAACCGCGTCACCCTACGCCAACTGTTAGGACACTCATTGATATTGCAGGCCAACAATATCGTGGTCGTCTTTAATTTTTTATAAAGGATTGTGTTGAGGTGATAGCTAATACCATGGTTTGTATGGCACTATTTCCGGTGCTCTGTAATATCAAAATTTACGAGGACTAGTTAAGAAAATAAGTGCTATACCGATATAGTAGACATTACCTTTCCTGACGTAAAGCGGACTCATCATTAATTATTGCATCCACTGTGGATGTATAGGAGTCAATCCAAAACACATGTAGCTTTCCGTAACTTCACTTTTTGAGATTTTAATGGTCAGTACGATGCAACATACACATGGATATGCCAATTCCCAAAACATGGATTCGTGGGATACAAAAACTTAAAGATGAATGAAAAAAGTAAAATTTAATGTAAAACAGAAGTGAGTGTGTTTGTGTTTCTGTGGCCGATTCTAAGTCATGTCACCTGTCGTCCCGGTCACTATGACCGCTAAGACCTCAACCAGGAAGCTGGCACCTACTAACACAACTCAGTTCGTGAAATGCCATGTTTTGGTTCGGCCACCACTAGCTTTTTTCCAGCCCACACCTACACCAGATAACCACCTATTGAGGTAGGACGTGGTTGAGCATACATAACACATCCCGATCACCTCAGTTGAAGATTTACTACCTCATCGATCGACTTCTCATTTTCACCTAGTGCCCTATTTCTAACCCGGGCATTGCTTACTCCGTGGTCCTAAAATACACCAGAAATACTTCGTAAACACCTACGAGCTAATATAAGTAACCCACAAATATCCTCTACTTGTCATGTTTCACATCCGGGAAAACGGATATCTCACCTAAACCACAAGTGACGAAAGTTAGCAAAAGCTGATCAGACTTTTCTAATCTGTGCCGAGATTTCGTCAGACACCAGGACATCAGCACTGATGAAAATCCTAAGATAAGTAAAGCGGTTAATACGCTCAACTACTTCACTTATCATTAATTCAGAGGCTGACACAAGTACATCATGGAGTAACATTTTATATTTGGAGGGATAGAAACTCATCTCAAACATGCTTGTATTGTTGCTCAAGAAAGTTAGATTGCATTTCGTCAATGTCTTCACCAGATAGCGCTAAACCACTTAGGTATTCGATGTTAACAAGACAACCTCCTGGTACAAGATCAACCCCTCAAAAGTCAGACGAGACGTTACCTCTGAAAGCACGCCTATGACAAAGTTAAATGGAAATGGGAAAAGAGGACAACCCTTACGAACACCCCTTGAAGTAATCAACTCCGATAATAGTTCGCCACAACCTCCAATTCAGCCGGTAGTGTTCGAGTAGAGAGCATGTACAAGGTTAGTTTACTTCGCTAGACCTTTTGATGACAAACACTGGGACAGCACCTCAGGACAGAGTCAAACGCACCCTAAAGTCAAAGAATATAACTGCTGTAAGCATATTACTTAAACTGATTCCTGTGTGACCGCCAAAAGAGGGATATTGTCTTTTCTTATGAACTGGGACAATCAGTGATCGAGACCAACAAGATGGAATAACATCCAGTTCTTAGATTTTAGCTAAGAGTTCAGTTAATAAAACTGCTAAAACTGGACCACCATTCCTAAAAATCTCATGAGCTAATCCACCAGGCCCTGCTGTTGTCTTTCCTTATAAACTGAGGTGATTGGCAATCGAGACCAGCACACTGGATTACTTTCAAATCTCAGATTTCAGCAAGCCCGACCATCACGTCAAGGTAAAAGCTATGACTGGGCGAAGTACATATGATTGAATACTAGTAATCCAAGAATATTCTACTTTTAAAGTCACCCTACTCAATGCACTTTCACAGGAATTCTACTTGTTTTTCATCGTAAACTCCCAGCACATTTAATGGTAGTGTGAAACTACTTTCTGAATAGGGAATCGTTTCGGACTTTGGAAAACGCTGTTAACTAGTCATCTGAAAACACTCCGCAGTATACAGACTAACTTTGTAGTATTCAGTAGCATGTTATCACAAATCATGAGTAATCGATGACCAATGTAAGCTACCACTGATTTGTAGCTTTGTTCTGTTACCAATGTCTTTAACGTAAGACAAGTCTGACCAGCAAATATGAATGAGAAAGTGCACAGAAACTTGAAAGGCAAAACCATGGATTTGTGATGTTACCGGCGAAACCAGACAATTTCGGCGGCTAGAAATGATTAACCTAGCACATATTTATCCTGTTTGTAATTAGGTTATGCAGCTAGACTATTACAGTACAATCAATAACAGGGTAAAATCAGTAAAAGAACCTATGATGCTCGATAGTATCAAGAAATACTTACTTTTTGATTTGATTGAATTACTTTCCGTAGTGATTTGTCGTAAACTGAATTCCGAACCAATTAGCCCTGTCGAGCATCTAGAACACGAACGACTTGGACAGCTGAAAAGATATTCATGGTGGGCTGTGGGTGACACGGCAGTTTTGTGATCATGCAGAGAAAACTTGTGAATTGGATCTGCGAATGTGTATACAGGTAGTAAATTGTCTTCTCGTTTACACATATCTGAGATTGGCTTAACAGTGATTTTGGGACATTCGACAGTGACATGTCCCTGCTTTTGCACTCTTTCAAGAAATACTGCTGGCTTCGATGAGACATGAGACTGTAAATGATTTTGAGCTCCGTTTTCACAAAATGAATGCATTTTGCAATTTTTACGAAAGGAATCAACTTTTTCATAACCTTTTGAGAACGGTGGAAACCGATGAGATTTCTCACGAGTCTTGACCTTATAAGACAGAAAATGGTAACAATAAATGGTTTGATAACAATCACCACGAAGTACTCGGTATAACTTACTTTGAATACTTAATCTTCAGTAACTTAATAAACTTAAGGAATTTTACTTGAAAATTTTAGTACTTGTTAGGCAGTAATAATGAGGTCTTTGAAAAATTTATATAATTTGTTCAGTTAAACATCAATGCCCCCAGACAACTACAAAAAGTTATGGCTACTAATCTTGTTCAGCGAATTGTAATAACACTTTGCGTCTTGTAAAACTAACTGATCACGAACTGAAGAGGGCAACAAACTAAAAATAATTTTGTTTACTCATGATGACTCGCGCTCACTGCTGTTTTTTGCAACCAGGATATTATAACTGTGAGCTTATGAATATCGACCAAACATAGGGTTTACGAAAGCAGGATTGAATACTTATACATCTTTAGAAAGGATAACGTTTATCACCTAGACACAAGGTTTTGAGACGTTAAAAATCAAAAGGAAATTGTACACAGTTTAGATCCCGAATTGTGGGATATTTCGTCTTGATGAAAGTGTAGTGAACGAAAACACAAGTGGGGACAATTGAACGTATTTGAACACAAAATTACAAAACGTCTTAGTAAAACCTGAGAACCAAACAGTAAATACTCAATCTGCAAGATTTCGATCGATCGCCTTAAACTTGACTGTTCCTTCTGCAAAAATCAGTCAATCGTTTCAGACTTCATTTTTCTTTCGTTTTCGAACCACTGATTATTTGTTTTCGTTCTCTTTTCTTTGATCTTTTCTATCCTACTGCACCCAGGCACTTCATTACCGATTGATGATACACTACTTATATCTACGGACATCAATTGCACACACTACGGAAAGTCCTCCCTCACTCAACTCAAAGTACTGACAAACTAGATCTAAACCTACGAAAATAAACTGCAAATTCAGACGAGACTATACCTATAAAAAACCTACCTGTTTAACATGTTTTCGAACGGTGGACTGTAAATAACCCGAAGTGAGTGGAGCCGAAAGATTCTCTAATGTCTCGAGAATTCTCCGAGCAGTAGAACTCAAATTAGCGGTTGGATTACTTCGGAGTTGAGAATTTCGATCTGAATATAAATCAAATTTCAACGGCGTAGTGAACTGAAATTTAAGAAAGGTAGTTTTATGTATATGAAGTAGCACGAATCTAGTCATAAGGTTAGAATTCAATTGGAGGCAAGGCAATAGAATCTATACTGCTGAGTTGATTTTTACAAACAACCGGCCCAACAAAGACGGTTATAGAAACGTTTTATTTTACTGGGAGTTCGTAACATGAGTAATTACGAAAAAAACTTGTTTCGATAGGCATCACCAGCCGTTAAAATGATCGTACCACTCATCAACAATCGGATTTAAATATATGCAAACGAGTGATGGCTACCCACGTAACTGGAATATTGACTTAAAATACCGGGTAAACTGATATTACGAGAAAACACTGCCAAGATAGGTTAGCATGACTCGATGTCACAAACTATATGAGGGTATTAGAAGTTGGCAAGGTGCCGGGCCCATAACGCTAGGCTTGATTGTGTGCTCATCAAATCACACACATCCAACCTGACATTATTCAGTCTTAAGCAACATAGGACCTAGTACGTGGTCAACAATTGACAGCGCAATACATAAACACGAGATGATCTTAAGATGAATGCTAAAGTAGTAGTCATATCGTCGATATATACATATATATACATTTATATTAACGACAATAACCCAACTGTGATTACAAGTAAACTTACTTCGAACAGCTCTCGAGCATTACGACAACTGGCAGCTCCTCCGTATGTAGTTCCCAAACGAGAACGACAGGTAAATGAGGGACTAAGGTTCGTTGTTGTGGACAAGCGCTGGCGTTTTGGCAAGGGATAAGGGCATGTTTTAAAGTCATTCCGGGAGGTCTGCCATGAAAGTGATGGTTTACAACAGGTTACTTCCACCGAGTCGCATACTTTATGTGTGTTCATATAGCTATCTGAACACAGTTCCATACGTAGAGCCGTAGACCTACTTTGGCCGTTTTTGCATCCCAATACCCACGACTTGGGCATTAACGACGAAACTCCACTTGTAGAAAAAGAGTGAAGGCTGCATTCACTTTCCGACTTATCTGCGGCATCAAGGTCAACATTCGCATATCTCAAAGTGTGATCTTTATGGCCCCATGCTTTATTCTTAAGTCCTGATTCACTACAATGATCAAGAACATCATTGGTTCTTTTAAGGTTAGTTCTCAAATCTCCTTTAAGTGGGTCATCCGATTTCGCAGGAGGAACCTGAATAGTTGAATTGGGAAACCCGATACTTACATCAATTGTCGGTAAAATCGACGATGGAACAAACCCTGTAATTGAATCAGCAATCCTGTGGAATATAGACTGCAATGATAATTTTGAACATGAATGTGAAAATAGGATGGACGTACTCTCCTGTGAATTTCCGAAACCATGTCCTGTGATCTCAGTCTGCCCACTGCCAACTCATGCAGCAAAACAAAATCGGCCTCAACTGTCAATGATTTATTCAGCGTTGGCTGAATAAGTATAAATACTTGAAAGGTTTATATTGTTTTCTTGGAATAAATGCCCTCTTTTTATCGCTTTGTGGTGCTTCCTATGTTATAATAGCTCCACGTTCTCCTTCAGCTCCTCCAATCATTGAACCTTTACTCACTGGAGTACAGGAGTTTTAGAGGTGATCTTCCAATGGCTTGCGGTATCCTAAATACTTCTAGGCATCCCCTTAAACACCTACTTAAGGTTAACTCCGACACATACCTAAGGAGTAACACCCAGCCACTAGAGACACAACACAGCAGAACGGACTGTAGACACAACTTCTACTCCTTAAGAGTAGTCAAATGCTGGAATTTGCTACCGGCTGAGCTAGTCCAAGCGACTTCTCAGGAGTCCTTTAAGAGAAAAATTGACATATTATTAAGCAGTAAGGATAGTATCTATGATTTTACCAATTTCTTGTTCCCCTTTTATCGATAGTATACCTAGGTTCCTGATGAAGGTATTGGTGATCCAATGCTAATAGACACAGAAGCCGGTTAAGCGAAAAGTTCTTCTATTCCGTCCAAAACCATTTGAATCTGATGACCTCAGGGTCGATAAAGGCCATAGAAGGCGAATATTAGCTGATCGCAAAAAAACTGGCATGGATAAACTACGTTTACTGCCTACCTTCATATTTTTTTATTTTTTCAGTGAGCATACAACACATAATTTGATGATTCTTTACGAAAATGAATACGAGAAACCAACTAGTTGTTTGGAGTTTTTCACTTCTCACACTTCAACACTGAAGTTTATTGAGCTCAGGAAATATCAGTTTGCGTTCAAACCCATAGTTATCATCTTAGAGGTGTCTAATAAATGAATAATCTGATTTATTTTAGGTTTATATCGTCACGTGCTCCCAGCAATTTATGTTTTGAGTTATTAGAATAATGGCGTCACAAGCTTTATAGGCGAAAATAGGTAGTGGCTAGCAGTAGAATCCAGGACGCGCATTTCGTCTTACTTGGGACTCCTCAGACATGTGTACCGCATCCCACAGTTGATATTCACTCCGGGACTCGATCCTATCAACCCTGGGGTGCAGGTAAATCTGGCTGACGAGTCCGAGGTGGGACGAAACAAGAGCCTTGGATTCCACTGCGAGCCACTATCCATCTTTGCTCATAAAGCCTGACATATTTACTGAAAATAAACGGAAGTCAGGGTTGCTTCTCGAAGTGGTTGCTCATTATTTTTTTGGACTGCGTGTTGATAACTTTTGAATGAACATGTGGATCCCTAAAATCATAGGTTTGAACATTTTTTGTTCGGAATATGTTCATTAATCCATAGAAATCTGACAGCAGATTTTTAATCACTCTTGCGGTATACCACTCCATTTTTTATTGGGGAGCGCCTGACTTTATAATTAGGATGTTTCATATTATGACACAATGTGTTTTAAAGCACGAAGTTCAGCGAAGGTATATCTTTTCAACGAATTTATTATCAAGCTGTAAAATCGTATATATATATGAAAATGTTTTGTTAAAGCACTAATTACGTGAGGAAATGTGAACACTGATAACTAAGATTATAATAAGGTGATTAAAATGAATAAAATGTTTTGGTTACAATAATTAAAGGTCATTAAAGGTCATAGAGGTGTAAAAAAAATTGGATGATATGATGAGTATTCATGAATAAAATAATGAGAATATAAGATATAAGTAAAGGGGAAATGGAGTAATAATAATAATAAAAATAATAAAAGAATGATAATAATAATAAGGCCATGGTAATGATAATGATAAGACGTACTTCTTTTGCAAGCATAGTTCTGGTTTGAGCTCATGGATGGTAAGAGCTTCGGCTATTTTTATGAGTTTCATACGGAGAAATCTGGGTAGATTTGGATGAATCATATAAACAACCTTAAAATCAGACTATGGATCCGTATAATGATTACAGTCGATTAGGTGTTCAAATATAGAACTCCTAACTGCTTTCGTCGTTTCACCCTCGTAGAAGCAAACTGGGATAAGTTCTCGTATCTGAGTTGAAAGCGAGCGTTGGCTGCGGCCGACGTACCTTACTCCACAAGAGCAGGTGAACTGGTAGATGCACATAGAGGCGACCAGAAGCGGAAGTTTATCATTAATTGATACAGAAAATAAGTTCTTACTCGTGAAGGTTATTCGTAGTTTAGCAGCATTAAATGTCCTTTTTATCGTTGTTGTTAAACGATTTTGGTGTTCGATCACCTTTAAATTCCAGACTTATATAAAGGCTTTTCTTCGGGGCGGAATAACCAGGTTTCCTGTCGACGCTGCTTCTATTCATGTTCTTCTCTATGAACCGGTCTGGGTAGCCGTTTTTAAACAAGGTCTTCTTAAGGAACGCGAGTTCTTCGTTAATACATTCCGTACTACATATCCGATGTATACGATAACATTAAGTAAGAATCACGTTTCTCTTTCTGTTTAACGGAACCCAGCTATAGAAGTTGGTTAGTTGAACACTCCATGTTCGCTTTCTAAAGATGGATCTTTTTAAAGAACCATTATTTCTTCTTACTAGACGTACATCGAGAAAAGGGATTTATTGTTCTCGCTCCCTTTCTAAAGTGAAGTCTATGGAAGGGTGGCATTAATTAAAGGAGTGTAAGATATCGTCTAAATCAATATTATCTTCACACGACAAATGTGTCGTCCATGTATCTTACGTGTAGGTGGAATCGATTTATCATTGAATTGAGTAGGGTCGTTTTCTAGTTTTGCCATGAAGCAGTCTGCTAAAATTGAACCTAATGGAGACCCCACTGCAATCCAATGTCTTTGTCCACATATTTCATTGTTGAAACTGAACTGGACATTAAAGGTACAACGTAACAATAATTCTTTTAAGTGTTCAGTTGAAATACCTAGATCTATGTTGTTAGAGTCTATATACTCACAAATATAACATATAGTTTCCGTTAACGGTACACTAGTGAATAAAGAATTAACGTCAAGCGAGAACACGTGTTTTACGGAAGTATTAACATCCTTAATATGATCAATAAATTGAAAAGTATCATGAACAGAATATTTAGATACTTGCCTTCTAACTGGTTCCAATTTTTCAGCTAACCATTGGTCTATTCGGTGGTATGGTGAGCTTGACATATCCAAAATAGGTCGTAATGGTAAGCCTGCTTTATGTACTTTCGGTAGTGCATATAAGCGTGGGATGATTGAACCCATTGCGCGAATGTGATCATATAAATCCTGGGTAATTATCTCTTTATTTTTAAGGTTTTTAACAACATCCGTTAGCTGTTTTTCAATCTGCAGTGTTTTGTCACCTTCTCGTTTAGGTTTAGAGAATTTAGTGACATTGTCTAAGATTATTCTCATTTTTTTCCAAATATTCTCGGCGGTCAAGCAGCACTACCCCAGCTCCTTTCTCAGGTTTGCTTAGTATAAAATCGTTATTTCTTTTCAGGAGCATTAGCTGATCCAGGTGGTTCTTAGTTAATAAGTTATTCTTACCACATTGCGTATTAACATATCCATGACTGCAGTCCAGTAATGTGGATTTAAAATGCTAAAGATTTTGAGGGGTTGTCGGCACAAGATCATGAGTTTGGTTTGATAGATTTTCGAATGAATTTGTGTATAAAGTCTGTTGGTTTTGGAGGTGCTATTACAGAATTTGGGACCCACTGATAATACGTTTTTCTATTTCTACCATTTGAAGATACTGTACTTTTGATGTGAAACTGAGACCAACTAAATTAAACACAAATCTTGTGTTTTGACGTAACGGAATATGGGTGACCTAAACGGGATTGGTACAGTGTGGAGAATAAATTGGTTTCATTTAATTGAATAAACTTTGGTTTGCTGTACCATCCTTTACATCCAGACTAAATGTTATGGTTTTTATCGTTAAACGGCCAGATGTAGTTGAGAAAGCAAGTTTTATCTACCCTAACTTAAATCAGGAGCAGTCATTTAAAAATTATTCATCAGACATTAAACATCAGATCTTAGTAACTAGACTATTCTGCTTGTTGAATTTTGGTTCGGTTATGTTAAACTCCAGGCTTTCCGGTTGAGATGCGAACAAACATAAGATCTTTAAAATCGAACTTCTAAATCGAGTGATGATTTCTGGATAAATATTGATCTCACGGAAAAAAGATAAATTTATGCTTGTAAGCTAGTATTATTACTCACTAAGAGAAATGGTCATATTTATGGTTATACCAGCAACAACAAGAAAGTCTTCAAGAGAAATAAACACAAAAAAACTATATGAAGCAACTAAAACGCCGGTAGTGAAGTATGGCAATCCGGCGACACCAGCCGGTAATAAACAAGTAAAACCAATCACTGAGCTTCAAAAGTAAAGAAACAGGTGAGTATGTGGTGGGGTCGGTTCCTAGACACTCGATCTTGCAAGCTGAACATAAGAGAACTGGGAAAATTCACATTCAACATTTAAAACGGAGTAAAGGTCAAAAAGTAGTGAGCGCAGAAACAGTTAAACGGAATGGCATGGATCGGTCATGTAGGCGTTATCACACAACCCTTCACTTATTGCATTAAATATATTACTCTCTTCCCAGCTCAAATGTGTTCTACAGAAGTTCTAGAGGTCATGGTGCTGAATATCATAGCAGGACGAGTAAGTGTGAACAGTGATGTGACTTCCACGTAAGGTCTTATAGATTGGGTAGTTACATCATTACAAATCCCGGGATTGTTCCGATTATTACAGTAGCGAAAATAAATGTCGGAATATCGAATTAGATCATAATTCGGCACTGATGTGACCTGCTAAAGAAACGCAGTTTGTTATTAGTTCTCAAAGTTAATTTAACTTAATCGATAAATTTCTACTTCTGTGTAGATTATTCTGTTGGTCTGCTGATTAATGTTCATGTGAATGAGTTGTTTGAACTAAATAATCCAGATAACGCTCTTCTGATAAAAATATCTAGGAAATATGAGCCTCAAATTACGAATCGAGAGCTAGGAATACTCAACATGTCCTTGTTTAGCATGGGATGAAAAATCCAAATGGTAAGTGGATTCCCACGTACGTACGCTCCTCCTTGGGTGCACATCGTGTATGCACCCGAGAGCTTACTTTTCTGGTGTTTATTGAGATGGTTTAACCCCCAAGTTGTCTGGTTAGAGTTATCTATTGGAAGCTTATTATTAGCTCTCATCACAACGATCGGATATTAGAAGAATCAGCCCGCCCTATTCGTCTAGAACAAGCATCCTAACTTT